ATTGCTCATCTTCCCATACATTTCCTTAAGGGTCTGCTTTGCTTAGATGTATTCAATCTTTGTCTCCTGGCAATGCACTTAAGAGTTGTTTATGCGTTTACAGTGACACAAATGCCCTCGGGTTTTCGTCACATGTACCTTGCTGTTTTCTGTTCTTTCTAATGAGCACCAAGCCTACTTTCCTTTCTCTGCCCTTAAAGCCACTTTTCACTGGTAAAGAACCTGCTTGGGATGTGCAAGGACCTCAGTTCAATCTCTAGTAAAGACCTTCCCTCTCCAAAGATGTTCTTACATTGAGAAAAAATTCTTATATTGTCAGTTTTGTTAGGAACAGTTCAATGCCTGAGCTGAAGATGCCAGCAGTGCTTTTGTATATCTGATCTCAACAGTAGCACACTGGGAACAGCTGTGGACTCCAAATAACACATGTTCTGAGAATGCACACACAGTGTGGGCCTAATATTTACAGCAATGACGACTTTCTGTTTGTTAGAGATTAGATTCCACAAAGGTGTAGTTGCATTGGGATTTCTGTGCTCAGAGTTAATTATAGTTCATAATCTCTAATTACAATGACAAAATGCAGACACCCTAGAACCTAAATCTTCTCCTCAAATTTGATGCCAAAATAGCAGCACAATGAAACTTTGTGTGAAGCCACTTACATCACTTACATGGGCTCTGAGCTGATTCCACATAGAGGAATGTTTCCCTCATAAGTATGAATATAGTAAGGAGTATAAAATACTGCGTGTAATTCCTTGCAAAACCCATAACATTCTGCATAGAGAACACAGCTCAAATTGATTAAAATGATATTTATAAATATTTCTTAGCACTAGCACTGAGAAAGAACCTAGTGCTTACAGCTCACCAGCAGCCAGCACAGCCATGGACCCACATCCTGGTTGTATATACCAGTCTACAGTAAAGGAACCAGGGCTCTCTGGAGGTAGATGACTACAGGCAGGGACAAGTATAGGACAAAAATTAAAGAAAATGCTCAAAAGACAGTATAAGATAGGGTATGTTTTAAGGGCACAAGATTCCACTTGCAGGAAGTCCTAAGGACCGTAGCCAGCAACAAAATTAATGCTAGTCATACTATGACCTGATACTGAGAATAACCTAGAGTATAGGCCTCTGAGTCTATGCTGAGAGTGAGAAGGAGAGCTGAGAAGGGAGAGCTTGTGAACACCCACAGGAAACATTAATCACCTGCAGACCACCAGGGTCACACTATCACAGTTAAAACTCACTGTCTAGGGTTAAATCTATGGAAAACATAATGAGAAACAGGGTATCTGCATTGTGTGGTAAATAATTAGCTTTATTGAAGATGACCTACAAGGGCCCTAAGTTGATTTCCAAAGTGGTTTTACAAGTTTATATTCCCACCAGCAATGGAGGAGGGTTCCCTTTCTCTACATCCTCTCCAGCATGTGTTGTCACTTTTGAGTTTTTGATTTAGCCATTCTGATGGGTGTAAGGTGAAATCTCAGGGTCGTTTTGATTTGCATTTCCCTAATGATTAAGGATGTTGAACATTTCTTTAAGTGTTTTTCTGCCATTCAATGTTCCTCTATTGAGAAGTCTCTGTTTGGCTCTGTACCCGATTTTTTAGTTGGGGTACTTGATTTGTTGCTCTTTAACTTCTTGAGTTCTTTATATATTCTGGATATTAGCCCTCTGTCAGATATAGGGTTGGTGAAGAGCCCTAGAATGTCCTCCTTCTCAGCATGTTCTTGTTTCATGAACAGAAACTCAGTGTAGTTAAAAGCACCAGGTGTACTGGGCGGCGGTTAATGCACTCCTTTAATCCCAGCACTAGGGAGGCAGAGGCAGGTGTTATGAGGGTTCAAGGCCATACTGGTCTACAGAGAGAGTTCCAGGACAGCCAAGCAGCCAAGGCTACACAGAGAAACTCTGCATAGAAAAACAAACAAACAAACAAACAAACAAACAAACAAACAAACAAAGCACTAGCTGCTCTTACAGAGAACCAAGGTTTGATCCCCAGTATCTACAATGCAACTCATAACCACCTGTAACTCCAGTTCCATCTTTAAGCCTCTGGGGGTACCAGGCACAGGCATGACACACAAATGTCATATATATATATATATGACATATATATGTCAAATAAATGTCATACACACACACACACGCCAAGAACCCATACACATAAATAAAATGAAAAACAAAAAAAGAATGTTCTTGTTTCCCTGGGGTCCTTAAGCCACTTCAGAGAGCCAATGCTAACAATGTGATGGATAGTGTAGTTCTGGGTCACATCCTGCCAGCCCTACCTCTGGAGAGGCTAGGTCTCACATAATTGAGTCCCAATAAGCACTGCAGATAGCATGCTTCAAATGAGCTATCCTGGTTACCAATGCTGGAAAAAGTCCATGCTATCTTTATCACATGGGACTTCTCAGGGATCCTGCTCTTGGTCTGACCCTGTCTTTAACTGTTCAACAATGACTGAGTACAGAGCTTTCAGTGGGCTGTGAGCTCCAAGATGACTGAAGTGAAGGCTGTATTTGGCACCCAGTTGCAAAATATCTACATCAAGCTAAATATTTACAATTACAAGGAAAAAACAAGATGTTTATACAAGGTAGAAAGCTGGACAACAGCACCTTTGCTGTCAACACACCTGTACACAGCACAATGCACCAGGAGGGCACTCTGACAGACCTAGACCTCAGTCAAATCAAAAGGAGGCCTCAAGAAATGCATATGGAGAGGTCTCCAGAGTGAGGAGCTGTACTCTTCAAAAGCATCATGGTAGGCAAGGGAGGGCTGAGGCCCCTGACATGGCCAGAGGACCTGACAACAGAGCCCAAGTGGGAGCCTGGTTCAGCCCAGGCAGAGAAGGGTCCAGAGTGAACCTCCCAAGACTGTGATAGGAGAAGGCATCAGTAACAGACTCACCAGGGCTATGAAGCTGCTGCTGCAAGAAATGGCAAGGTAACATTCACAGCTGAGAACACAAGGGTGACAATATTCATGACACACAGCTACCCAAGGTAGAAAGGGGCTGTGAGTCTAAGGTTATAGTACATGTTAAAAGAAGCATGGTTGGCTCCAAAGGATATTTAAAGGCAGGACTCTACATGGAATCCCTCCAGGCTGGTCATAGGATTTCAAGAATGCTTTTCAAAAAAGACAGGCAGGTGGAAGAAGGTAGTCCTTCACTGTGGCAGAGATATTTTCTTTCTTCTTAGCCACAAAATCCATACAACTTGTAGAAACCATGATTCTACTTTCCTTCAAAGTCTATAAAAGGTTTAAAATGAATACATGAAATGCTGTGATTGTCAAAGGTGCCAGTACTACTCACAGGAACCTGACACAGACTTAAGCACCCTGCCTTTCTTCTACTAACTGTAGCTCAGGGTGAAGGACTGAGAAGCCACTCGTTAGACAAGTGTCCTAGCTAATAGGAGGAAGGTAGAACTATTGTCACCTTCTCAGCAGCCCCCAGGGATGTACTGGTGCTATGTGCTAGTCACCAATGGCTGCTAGAAAAAAGTTCAGGGGACGCCACCAAAAAAAAGCAGCACCACCTCAGAGTGTTTTACTAATCTCCTTTCCCCAAGGTCTATAAAGACCTTGGAGAATTAATCAGATCAAGGGAAACACACAATAATGAAGGAAGTGCTCAACTACACCAGTGAGGCAAGCTTCAAAAGCCACCAGAGCACATGGGACAGACCAACCCACACAATGCTCTACCAAACATGGGAAAGAGAGTGTGTGTGGGGAGGGAGGGAGGGAGGGAGGGTAAGTGAGCTATAGCTCTAAAGCAGAAGGGAAGCTGCCAAAGAGTAGTGTATCAATTCCGATGTCAAGAGGTGTCAGGAGCATGTATGCCATTTTACACAACTGAAAACTTCAACATTTACCGAACACCAATAATAAGAAAAAAACTGTCAGTTTTAAAAGAAATGAAATATTTGGCTTACTTTTAAAGTGTCCTTAATTTTTAAAATGTCATACTGCAAATGATAACCACATAACTATCTCTGTAGATAGTTCCCTAGTGTGGTGAGTACAATAAACTCATTATCTGAAGTCTGAAGTATTCCTTTTCCTCCAACACCACAATTACTACTGGGCTCAATAAAGGCATGTGGCTTCTTCATGAATTTGGCTTGCATGTAGTAATTTCTTTTTTCTACAGCCCTCCACTTACCCTTTCTTTTATTTTCCCTCCAAGCTTACACTTGGATTTTTGAGCCACAAAACTGTCCTTTCTAACTTACAAGTATCACTGATAGGCACACAGGAATACATCTGCTTGAAGAAAAACATTGTTATAAATACGGAGCTATGACAGTAGAACAGAAAGACATAAATTGTATCAAAGTAAGTTTAAGTAAATTTAAAGATGAATGCTGTCTGTGAACACCGAAGAGCTCTGCTGACATTTAACATGATTTACCAGTCTCTCTCCTCAGCATTGCACCTTCAATCCTGTGTGCAGAAGGGGCAGCATGCCAGACTACAGTACTATTTTATGTTTTTGTTTGTTTGTTTTTCATTCAAGTGAGCTGCTGCCCTTACAGGTTTAGGTTGATTCAACCAGAGACTGCTGTATATAGGCTGTTCACATAGCTGCCCTAGAGACAATGGCCAGGTATCCCAGGGTTTCCACCACGAGATCAGGCCTAACTCAGCATCCAGCCACCCTTCGGCTTTCCTGACACCTGGTCCTCTCAGTTCATTCATTCAGTAGCCTTCCAGAACTGACACTGAACCCTTGATTTTCCCAGAGCCTCTTCAGACCTGCTGAGCATGTTCAGACATGCTGGTGATTTGGTTGCTTCCTGTTTTCTAAGTTCACATAAAGCTAAGGAATTGATAAAAGGGCATTTGAACATAGAAGACAAAGAACACAGAAACAACTGTTCTGTGTGCTTCCTCTCCCTGTGACTGTGACACAAGAGACCTTAGCCCCTTGCCCACCAGCACTGCAGCACACTCGGCCTCACCTTCATCGCTCCCAGTTCCTTTCTGCTTTTTTTTCTTGACTAGTTGAATGGCTCGGTAATCAGTTCTTGCTGAGCCCCCACTTTCCTGGGACCAAAGAAAAGTGTGTCAGTTGCTTAATCTAAACAGCAGAGGAAGGGTACGCAGGGGGATTAGAAAACCATCCTAAGCCTGCCTTGCGAATGGATCAGAGCTCCAGGAGTCACTCCCCAGCAAAGGCACTCAGGAAACCACATGCTCGATAGGAAAATGCTCATAGCTTCATCATCTGGAGAAGTGAAGTTCATTCCTCCAAGGTCTAAATGCGCTAAGATATTTTAGAGTGAGGCCACTAAGAGCTGTACACTGCCCTGCTCCCTAAACACCAAGTCTTCTTGATGGGTTATATCACAGCAGCCATGGGCAGTGTTGGTAGCAAATGCCAGACTGTGTTATGCCAATATAGAAAGTGTCACTGAACTCAGCAAACTGATTGAGAAACAGCATTCAAACAGAAAATAAAAAAATTTGTGAACACTTAATAAAGTTTCATTTTTAAACTACAAGGAGTAAAGGACATCAGTTATCTACAGCTCACAGCACACTGAAACCATTCACACCATTCCCACTCAGAGAAGCGAGGGAGCCCAATGCCACACAGGTAGCAAAAGAACAAACAAGGGTCAAGCCCAAGTTCTGCTGGCTCTTCCACCTATACCCAGAGCTAGGAAGGGAGGTACACAGTGCCAAGGACAGGCTTCTCACTCACTCTGACCTGTGGTTACCCCAGTCCCTGTCTAGTCACCTGTTGCTCTTAGAAACTGTGATAGCTCAAGCAGATGCTGGCAAATGTAGCCACCAACAAGCCAGACACCAGAAATTGATACAGACTATGCTGTTCTCATACTGAGAGAAATGCAAGTCGGTTCCAGCAGGTTGATCACTAGGTACCCTCACACTTGGTCCCAATTCACAACTTAGTATTTTAGGCTGTAGTAAGGTAAGATGTATGAATCTTAACATGATAAATGTCAAAACAAAATTCAACTAGCATTACAAAGAAACCTATATGACCATTTCCACTGTAAACTGAGGAAAGTCAGACTCTCTTTAGGAATCTTTAAGTTACTTTAAATTAGATTATATTAAAGGTATAATTGATATAAATATAGAATACAATAAACTGTCCAGCCTCAAAACTGAAATATTGTTATAATCCTTCAAGAATGAAGGCTCTAATAAAAATACCCTGACGTAGCTTCAAGTTGTCACTGAACTGTTAGGACGACTGACGCAGACATTGTTCTTCTAGGACTTGTCACTATGTGGAAAGCATGAAGGTGAATATTTCAATGGTAGGAAATGCCTCAAGTTTTCTCAAAAAAATTGTGTAAAATCACAGAACTCCAAAGAACCTTAGAAACCATGTAGCCAAACCCCCTTATTTTAGAAACAACTGAGGATTTTGGGCTCAGATATGTAAGAATGTCAATTCCAGACTCAAGGTCAAAGTCAGGTTTCCAGACCATTGCTCGGGCTCCATCTGTCCTTCTGCACACCAGAAAGAACTGTCTGCACAGACAGGATTCATCCCAAACATGATCCAAGCTGCATTAGGGAAGTGAGCTAGTGGTGGCGACAGAATAGAGTGCTTCATACCAAGTAGAGACTGCTGGTGCCAGAACAGTGCTCTGAGTCCTTTTGAGCCCCTGGCCTCTTTGCAGAGCTGGACAGCAGAGACTGGGATGGCCCGTGGCTTTCTTCCTGCCCCTGGACCACATCTGGAACAGGAGGCAAGTCTTGTTCCACCTTTATTGGAACCAGCAGATCTGGGACACTGGCAGTTTCTTGCACAGTGCCTGAAGAGGTTGGTGTGCTAGAAGGTGCTGTTAAGTTATTGCTGGGGGTCAAAGCTGGTGGGTCTTGACCTAAGTTCCTCACAGGCACAGCCACCAGACAGCCTACTGCTCCTGTGCTCATGGTCTGTGAATCATCTGCACTGAAGCTGCCTGGTTGGAGAACTGTGGCTGATGTCCCAAGAACAAGAGGACTGTCCAAACTTGGAGGCAAATCACTGTGGGCCACCAGAACCAGGGGGTCCATTGGCCCTAAGGAATTATTATTAGTAGGGAGATTCCCTCCCAGAGAAGAGCTCACAGAAGTGACATCAATGGTGAGGATCCCAGAGTTCAGGGCTTCATCTGACCCAGATGCCGAATTGCCACTGTTAGCAGGTGTGTCAGAGAAAAGTGCTGCTAAATCTATGTTGGTGAGCTCACTTTGGCTCGGGCTACTCAGTTCACTGCTGGGTGTGAGAGAACTTGGCGCTTCCAGCTGAGGTACAAGATCTGCAAAAGCAATGAATAGTCCAGTTACTGTTTTGCCAAACCGAGAAATCTTTCTGCTTAGGATGTTAGCAGCTACCCCTTGAAACAACACTGACTACCCTTTCAGTAGACCTTTTCACCACAATAAAGACTGAGACTTACTGCTGGCACATAGTGAACAGCAGATACCAAAGGGCTTGCCTGACAACAGGCACTTCATCTAATATTTCATGTCCTCAAGCTGTCTTTGTACTCCAAAGCCTGCCCTTCCTCCTAACAAAGAACGTTTTAATCTATCCTGTACCATGAAGCCTCTATAAGTCAGCTCTAAGACTAACTCTGGTTCTGGGCTATTTTTGCAATTAGCTTCAGTCATCTCAGGTCTTGTAAAATTCTGTCCTGTTCCACATCTAGTGTCATCTAAAAATTAGACTGGTTTGAGTCATCTGTGATTAGTCAGGAGTAAAACTGGCCTTCTGGGCTGAGCTGAAAGCTCTAGATTTAGGAAGATTCATGGAGCACACATCAGATCCTCTCATGCCCTTACTGCAGCTTCTGAACTGCCCCAGTGCCTGAAGCAGAGGGAGAGGGCTCTTAGTTCTGCTTCTCCCATACCAACTATTTGCTAACCGCAACTGCATACTTTCCAAGCATAAAGGCCAGGTCAGAGTGCATACTGAATTTATTGATTTTTTTATTTTGTGGGGGAAGGGGAGTTTGAGACAGGGTTTCTCTGTGTAGCCCTGGCTGTCCTACAATTTGCTCTGTATACTAGGCTAGCCTCTGCCTCTCCAGTGCTGGGATTATAGGCGTGTGCCACCACCACCAGGCTACATACTGCATTTTTTAACTCAGGCCTATAAAAAGACATCTAATCTAGATGTAAGAACAAAAATCAAGGTAAGAATCTATCTTCAGTTGTCATATCACAAAGTTTCCTCAACAGTATCACAGTACCAATACAACATTCTGAGGAAATAGGAGTGATTCTTTCTAGAAAGTGAAACGGGAAACCTGTTACTTTTTCAAAATTAAAAACGAGCAAACATTAATCTTGATGATTCTGTTCTTTGTAGAGAGTGATTTTGCTGGAACATAGATGCCAAATCACTCAAAAATCTCCCACTTAACATTTTATTAATTCCACAAATGTCAACCAGAGAATTGGTATGAATGGATACACAAGACAAAAATCACTGACTAAACAGAAACACATAATGGTTAAGACTGTGGCTTTGGGAGGCAAACACATCCCAGTAAAGACCTTGGCACTTAATCTTGGTGTCACCTTGGCAAGTCTTGTGCAGCAGCAGGACCATTGTGAGGTTGAACTGAAACACAAGCTAGCAGTCATCAGGCAGCCCTCTACTGACAATGGGCAGGATGAATGATACATGAGTCAGTCAATGTGTATCATAAACATGGCCTGATAAGAGGGCCTCTCACCCATCAAGAGTTTAAGAAAACTCCTCCAAAGTAACCTGAATTAGCCATCTTAGGGAAATGGAAACGCAGCTTGAGAGGGACTATAAGGCTGAGGCCTGTGCAGTCACATAGCTCAAGCTCAGAGCTGGAGAAGGACAGTAGCTGAGAGCCTCTGGGAAGAAAAGTGATACTCTCTGTCATTAAGTATAGGAGACACACTCTGCTTGTCTTCAAGAAACTAGCAGGAGAACAACTGTTTTTACAGTGCTGAGTGCAACTGCTGCGGCATGAAGTCAGTGCTTAAGAGCCAAAGGACAAACTAAGTAACCACCTCTCCCAAAAGAAATCAGATTAAGAACTCAAACCTTCACTACCTCTAGCTGCACAGAGCTCTGCAGCAGGTGCTTTAACAAACAGTGATCTATTACATCACCTTCTTTATTTTCAAAGCTCAGGGAAACAGGGCTCAGAGATATGTTCCTGCACAGGAACCCAACTAGGAAAAAGCTCAATGGTACTGCCCGCTTCACATGTCACAGTGAGGGGGAGATGGTTAGAAACATACATGGCCTCCACCACGCTACCTTACCAGGAGCAGAACCCACCAGAGAAAACTGTCTCTGTGAATGCACTAGAGAGAGAGGCAGCCATTGCTGTCATGCCTACATTCTTGATGTCTTGCCTAGGACTGTAGATAAAACCTAGAGGGGCTAGTTTCTAAGTGCTGTACTACAGATGCTGAAATGTCAGGTCTTACATGTTCAGCATCCTCCATGATTGACCTCTATCATGATGCCTCTCTCATACCCTTGCCTCTCTCATTCCTGAGACAAAACTCTGCTTTTGGTTTGGAAGGTTTCCTGCCTACCTGTAGAACACAGTATTCTGTGTAAGAACCACTGTCTCTTAAGAACAGGGGGAAGAGACAGGCTTCAGTGCTCAGGAACGATGGACATGGCAAGACAGATTCAGAGGATGCACATACAGGGCAAAGGACCCAGTTGCAGACAGGCTTAGGGCACATCTGAAGGGAAGAACTTCACGTGCTGGAGCGAAACAGGTACAAAGGGGCTGTGATAAGAAAAGAGGAGCAGGAGGAGAGAACGTGTAAAGGTCTCACGGCTGTGTGGCAACCCACAGCTCCAGCTTCCTAGACATGACTGAGAGATGAGAGAGCGGGACACCATCCCTATTCTTTCATGCTCAGGCATATATTTCTTTGCAACTCTCAGGGGCCACAACTACTGACCTTGGTGCCGGCTGTGCTGCCGCACCATGTGCGCCTTCATGCTGTGCTTGGAGGTGAAGAGTCGGTTGCAGCTGGACACCGGGCAGCGGCTTTTTGGAGCACCCACATCCTGCAGATGTTTTTTAGAATGAATGTACAGACTGCTGCGAGCTGAGAACCTGGCACAGCACCCTGGAACACAGAGGGACCAAAGTTACACCTGAGGATGATCAAGGATACTTAGTAACAACATCAGAAGCTGACACTAGACTGGTAAGACAATTCAGAAGGAAGGTGTTTGATTTCTGGAACCCACATAAAGATGGAAGGAAGGAACCAACTCTACACAGTTGTACACTAACCTCCACATATGCACTGTGACCCACTGTGCCAAATGCAACCCCCACTCCACCATAGTGATTAAGAATCATGTGCTGAGTAGTTTTATGCCAACTTGATACAAGGTGGAGTAATTTGAGAGGAGAGAAAATGCCTCCATAAGATCAGGCTACAGGCAAGCCTATAGGGCATTTTTAAACTTAGTGATGCGTGGGAGGGCCCAGTCAACTGTGGGTGATATCACTCTGGGTTGGTGGTCCTTGGTGCTACAAGAAAACAGGCTGAGCAGGTCATGAGGAGCAAGCCATGGCACTCTTCAATGGGCTCTGCATCAGCTCCTGCCTCCAGGTTTTCTCCTACTTTGGTTTCCCTCAATAGATTGCCTTGGTTCCCTTCAATAGATTATGATTCAAGCCAAACAAATCCTTTCGTTCCCAGGGCACTACCAGTCATGGACTTTCATCATGGCAATAGTGACCCTAACTAAGAAAGAATTAAGTCAATCGGAAACTATAACCCAAACCACTCAGGATGACAAAGGACTCAGATCAACAAGTGAGGTATGGGTCACTTCTTAAGGGGGTGGGGAATCCAACATAAAAATTATTAAAAAAAAAAAAAGGCCTGCTGAGGGTGGAAGAAATACAGAATGAGTAGTAGAGGAAAGTAGTTATAAATACCAGCTAAGGCTACATGACAAGTTGCAAAACTGAGGATGATGACTGACATTGTATTTCTGTCACATTTTTGTTAAGAATGTTTGTAAACATTCTTAACAATGTTTGTAAACAATGTTTGTAAACATTCAGTAGCTATCATACGTAAGTTATGAGATACTAAAAGATGTCCCTCAAGGGACATTGCCATCTATTTTAACATATATAATGCATCTGCAGTTATAGGATAGTTATATCATGTTAGGAATAACTATGACCTGGTTATTAGTTTTATTTGGAAATAAAATATGACATAAGGATATATGATTGTGTGTCAAGTGACAAGGAACGAATTTGTGATGGCTATTCTTGGTTGTCACCTTGACTACATCTGCAATTACTAAACACCTGTGAGGGATTTTTCTTTATTCGATCATTTGATATCAGAAGACCCACCCTAAACTTGGATTACACCTTCTGGCGGCAGCCTATATAAAAGGACATGGAAGCTAAAATCTTTTGTTTTTTGTGTGCTGGCCTTCACTCTCATTGTCAAGTTTATCTATCCTGATAAACGTGAATATAACCTGATCATACCTGAAAATATTCCTTCACTGGTATTAGAGCCAATGTATACTGAAGACAAGCTGAGAAATCCAGCCTCGTGGATTGAACAATTGGATTTCTGGATTTTCCCTTGGGAGATAGCCACTGTTGGACTAGCCAGACCACAGCTTATAAGCGACTCTAATACTCCTTCCCTTTAATATATATAGATTCATTTTAGCTGTTCTGTTCCTCTAGAGAACCCTGACTAATACAAACCATGACACCATGTTCCCAAGCACTGGCACTGAAAAGTGACATACCAAATACCCTAAGAGGAGTACAAGGGATAAACGAAGAATTATAAAAGAATATGTAGACCATGAGTTAGTCAGTCTAAGGCATATGAGCTGATCAAGCTCACTCTGCCTGTTTCTTTCACTCACTGCTCAAGTAGAAACAACTCCTCCAGTCAAAGTTCAGATGCAAAAATGTATACTAATCACCTCTATTAGGCTATTTAAAAAAAATGTAATCCTACAGTTCTAGGGGTTGGAACTATTTCAACTTATGACCAAAGACAACCCTGCCCACTTCACCTCTGTGCAGCCCAGAAACTGAGCCAATGTCTTTAGGTCACAGGTACAAGTGGAGTCAGAGCTGGTATTCCCTAGCCTACACACTCAACTTGCTTACATGTCAGATCTGGATTCTAGTGCTGGAGAGAAGACACATATACAATCATCTTCCCTTCATCCATGACTGCCTGTCATGTTGGTGCTCTGTCCTCCACAGACCCAGAAAGGGGAGGCAAAGTTCTTGAGTTCAGGGGCTTGTGAGCTGGCTGAGCATACAGGTAGTAAGCCAGAACAAAATCAGTGCTAGAAAATAACAAATGGTGTAGAAACAGCTTCTGAGAAGACCGAGGCACAGGTGCTCGAGCAAGGTGCACTGGGTGACCTACCCCTGGTGAGTGATGGGGCCAGGCCTTGGAGGAGATGGGTGTTAGGGCCCAGGGAGTTGGCCTCCTAAGGCTGTCTGCACTGCAACCATTGTTTACTCCATGGCCATAGATAGGCTTTTGACCGTTTGCAACAGCTCTTCCTTGTCCGTAAAATGAGCTTTATGAGGGCAAGATAAGGAACAGACTTAGAGCTTGTCTAGAAACATATCTGAGTTCCATGTGAGAATGAAGTTAAATGCCAAACTGCACAGAGACAGAGGAAGGGCCCTTCCTCATATGGTCCTATTTTTCTTTAAATAGCCCATTTGCAGGTCCCAAGCACTAACATTGCCTACCACCTCAAGGATATGCCCACTGTCACTCTCAATACGGGGTCTAGCTTCCTCTAGTCCAGTAAGAAGGAATTCTCTGCCTGGTGCAGAGACCTTGACTAAGCCCTGTTACACATTTCTCTGCTGAGACTGTCTTAATGGCTCAAAGCTCCTTCAGAACTTCAAAAGCAAATGCTCCCTCTTTAACAGTGAACTGCTCTTTCTTCTTCCCCTAATCACTCCCAGAACTGTGAAAATAAGCAATCTCTTGCCTCCTGCTCCGAAGCTCTGCCTGAGTTATCCTATCAAAACTTGCCCACTAACACCAAATGACACACTAGTGGGCCTCAGCATTTTGAGTTGGTCTGGCTCAGCACCCTGCCTTCACAATTTCTACCAGGGCAGCCTTTCCACTGTTCTACCTCCATCTGTGGCTCTCCATCACAGCTCACCTACGCTTAAAAGCAGAAAACAAAACTCTACCTAACAGCAATCACTACAACTATTGAAACTGACAAGCATCAATGCTTTTACAAGCTAGGGTCAGATGGAAGGGGAGGAGGTCCTCTCCTATCAGTGGACTTGGAAAGGGGTAGGGAGGAGATGAGGGAGGGAGGGTAGGATTGGGAGGAAATGAGGGAGGGGGCTATAGCTGGGATACAAAATAAATAAATAACCTGTGATTAATATAAAAAATTAAAAAAAAAGTTTCAATTAGTAAGAACCCTATGAGGTTTTGTTTACTTTAAGGATGAAGAAAAGGCACAGTCTTGCTCATCCCAGGACTCCTTTGAGCCATGCAAGTGGCAGACTCAGAACTTGAATACAGAATTCACACTTTCAATTGCTTGAGAATTTTAAGGATTAAATGAGGACCTGCATGCTATTTGTTTCACCCATAGTCCAACCTGTTCTTTAAGCCAGCAACAGACACATAGTCTGTTTTCTGAGTACCATTGGCCATGCTGAACATTTTATCATTTTATGTACAATATGACCAAACTCTTCTCTTCTCCCATCCCAACCTCAACTGAGACACTAACCTCAATTATTGGCTCTCCCTCTTCCAGGTCCAAATCATTACAGCATGCTTTGATTTCTATTTTTGCTGTTGATGACATTCTCTTCCTTTTTTGCCATCAGTCCTGAGCCCAGAAGCAACTGTCTAACCAAGATGACTGCAGGCCTATTCAAAGACCAGAGTGGGCCTTGACTCTAACATGAGCTGCTATTGCCCTGTGGATTCTTCCTGTTGATCTTTCTGCTTCCAACAGCCATCCTTAATGTTTGTCTAGCTCTTCCTCATTAAGCTGATCAGGACATTACACTCCCCATAAAGAGTAGTACGGATGAGACCCTGACACCCCATAGTGGCCTGCATGTTCCTGTTTGCCTGGTCTACATTCACAACTGCTATGGTGATAGGAAGGAGAACTTTATCATACCATCTGCATGTAAGTGGTTTTTATTATCCTTCTCCAGCTAAGATAACTGAAGTACACAGATTCACCTGAGACCATAAATTTAGGGCCCAAATGACTCATGCTGGACTGCTCCTTCCTTAGTGGACCTTCAACTACGGCAAGGTTGGCATAAATAGGCCAAACAAATTTTTAACAAGTAAATTACACTTTTAACATTTTAAAGAAAAAAGCTTATGCTTGCTAGTTTTATGTCAACTTGACACAAACTAGTTTTTTTTTTTTTTTTTTTTAAAGAAGGAACTTCAACTGAGAGAAAATATCTCCGTAACACTGGTCTGTGGGCATGTCTACGAGGCATTCTCTTGACTGACAATTGATGTGGCAGGGCCAAACTCACTGTGGGTTGTACCACACTTGGGCCTGTGGCCCTGGGTGATATAAGAAAGGAGGCTGAAAAAGCCATAAAAGAAAGCCATTAACTACAACTCCCCCATGACTTCTGTATCAGCACCTGCATCTTTGCCTTCCTTGAGTTCCTGCCCTGACTTTCTTTGATGAAGGACTGTAACGTAGAAGTGTAAGCTGAAACGCGCTCCAGATTGCTTTTGGTCATGTTTTATCACATCAATAGAAACCCTAACTAAGACAAAGCCTCATTTATACCCTTATTAAAACAAAACAAAACAAAACAAAACAAAACAAAACAAAACAAAACAAAAAAAAACCAGACAGGCTTTATTTCTTTCCAGGTGCAACAAGACTAGCTAATTTTCATTTAGTGAGCCCAAGCTATTCGCCAGACCAAATATAAAGGAGCAGTCGTCTTCTCACTTCACCTGTTCCTCATAATCACCCAGTTAAACAGGTGGTGGAACTAGAGCTTCAGACTAAGTGGTAGGACAGAAAACAAATCTGTACTTCTTCCAATACACTCCTAAGACAGTGTGCATGCACTGTCACCAACAAAGAAATACACTGCTGCAACTGGCAATTAATTTCCTTAGTGCTTCTGAAACTCAAACCTACGGCTTAACATGAGTATTGGTGTGGCACTTTTTCTACAACTAAAGCAACATTTTAAATGCTACCTTCCACAGGGCACTCAAATGGCTTTGTTCCCAGGTGGGTGATACTGTGGCCCTTCAGATGCTCTGCTCTAGTGAATGACTTGCCACAGCCTTCCACAGGACAGGTGAACCTCCGGTCATCATCATGTTTCCTGAAACAAAAAAATTAAGGAGCGATTACTGCTCGCAGGCATGAGGCTTTAGACACAGGAATGGTATGTTCCCTCTATGCCATTTCACAATGTCCACACAGGGTTTGTTTAGCTGCCCCATAATCAGAAATTTTACTTTAATAGTTAAGGTGGCCCCAAAGCTAGACACAGAACAATTAGTGCTATAACAATCTAGGAAGAGCTAAGTCCCAAAGGAGCGAATGAAGCAATCTGAACTGTTTAGAAGTCTCTATGGCCAATGTGCTTTCCAAGCCACATATGGCCAGAAGACACACTTGCACAGCTTAACAGCAGTAGGAAAAAACCTGTCTTTTTCTAAGTAATGCTTTCATTCTGAGTGCCCCATGCCCCAATTATGCAAACATACACAGGCCACCCACTCTCTCTGAGTCTGTATAATACCAATGTCAGAGCTGTGACCAAGATGAAACGAGCAACATCAGGAGTACACAGACCCCTAGTTGTCATTATCATTACTGAAAGTTTGCAAGAACATTTTCTGGTTTTCTAAAACATTGACATTGAGCTCCATTATTAGCTGCCTGAAATCTTTAATTAATCAGAAGTGTTCTGTGATAAATATTTCATGTGCTTTCAGAACCTAAATACCAAATGAAAAGTTTACCTTTTATGCCTGAGAAGTTTGGACATACTGGTGAAGGTCCAGCCACAACTGTCTGAGTCACAAATAAATGGTCTTTCACCTTGTAAGAGAAAAAAAAAATGACAGCATACCTATGAGCACAACAGCCACCACAAAGCATGTGTCCACACAGTGGTGCACACTGCAGCTCATACCTGTGTGACTTCGCAGGTGAATTTTCAGTCTGCAGGCTTTGTCATATTGTTTATTGCATCCAGGAAAAGAGCAGGAAAAGAGCTCTTGTTCTCTGAAGTGGGCTCGGTTATGGGAAAACAGGGCACTCACTGTGATGAATGTCTTCTCACAGCCTGAATAAAGCAAGCACAAGTTCAGCTCATAGGACAAAAGCACACAGTGCAGTTTACACTGTGTACAGCCCAAGGGCATGTTCATAACGAGCAGACAAAGAAAGACATGACTTGGAAACCATCTCTGCAAAGTCCTGTCCACTGCAGCCTTCTAGAAGCTACAGGAGGAGTAACACACACCTCTTGTAGTGTGATGTGGATGGCACAAGGGATTGATATAGCCTTTGCTGGCCAGTTTCTGTAGCCAAGTGCATAAACTAGGTGTGTCTTCCACAAACTCAGATGGTAACGCTGTCTGAAACCTAAGAAATCAGCAGGACAAATTACACACTAATGATCAAGATTTAGTCTGGCACAGCTTTGCAGGGCTTCAATCATCCCACTAGTTCAGATTTTCCATCCCTTTGGGCTGATACTGCATCCTCCACATTTTTCAATTTCCTCCAGCCTCTGCATTGGCACCCCACATTATCTCATTTCTTTCTCTTTTACCCGTTTCCTCAGGATTTTGTCAGCTTCACCTCTGTCCTCACAGCCCATCCTACCCATTCCATCAGCCCAAGCAACCTATTCCTGGGCAATTCCAACAGCAACACTTTTTTCACAAAAATGTTTAGTGCTCACACAGGGTGAAAAATAAGAAGCTGAAAGTTGTTTAGGAACTATCTTTGTTGCCGCTCTTTCTCAGACTCTCTAAAATGCAATCACTATGATTGGAAAGCACTGCACAGCACTTACATACAAGTAGCAGCCTAGGGAATCTCTGCCCCATCCAAAAGTAGTCTTTGTCTTCCTTAGTTAGCTTCAATCTGTCTGCTTTGCTACTTAGAATGCAAGTGATGGGGTTAATCTGAACATTAGCATTCTCTGCCTTAGCAACAGCCCTCACCACCCCCTATGAATAGGCATGTTCTTTCACCTTGCCTCTGTGATCTTTTTCCTGAAGCTCTCCACTACTCCCATTGTCACTTCCTGGCTCATGTTGTCAAAAGACACTCCTCCTCCTTGATTAAACATTTAATGGTGCTTCCCTGGTCCCTCTACCAGCTTCTATGGAAGTCCAACTGATCAGCCAACACAAGACCATCAGGGGAACCTCATGCTTCGAAGTGTGTGGATCCCTGTCCTTCCTGGTATGTCACACAGAATGGTGCTACCTTTAGCAGGATGAGACCTTCAGCTAACATTCCCACATCAGGATATGACTGCAGGTTTTCAACTGGCAGCCTGATGATTTCTACACAGGACTGTATCAGACAGTCTGTGGGCATTTAAGAATACAATACTAGAATCTGTTGCTAATCTCTCCATAAGAGCATACTCTAAAATGCACATGTTACTAGAGCAGAGCATGTATACTAGTTAATGTGCATGCACACTAGTTAAGGTGCTGTCTAGCAGGGCAGTAAGGAAGAAAACAGACATGATCCGAGAAACCGAGAAGTCTGTCAAAAATAAAGTACAAAAGACATAAAAACAGATTGTTGTATACCTGATGTTGGTTGCAGAGGCCCACCTTGTTGAAGGATCATCACTCTATGCGTAATACTGGAAAGGACAGAGATTTGATTCAAAGCATATGGTGTCCTTGGGGGCTCTGTGTCAGCTCATCAGTGGGGATTTCATAGAAGCTGGGGAGGGCCCAGAGAAACATTCATTCCTTCATATTTTAAAGCTGCGTATTTAGCCTTCTGTGTGTTGGATCTCTTGAGTCATCCTTTGTAGACCACGCTGGCCTTTAACTCATAGAGACTGGCCTGCCTCTGCCTCTCTGAGTGCTGTGATTAATGGCATGTGTCACCACAGCCAGCTTCATCTAGCATTCTTGAACTAGTAGACTGAGAAACATAAAGTCCTGACTCAACTGAACTCTGAGAAGTGGTTACTTTCAGTGGAAGCATCTTAACAAACGGTTTGCAGCCTCCCTCTCCCAAGGATAGCTGTGACTATGCAGGTCGCTTCGCTGTAGGAACCCAGAGCTTCACATCTAGCCACACGAAAGAAGTTTGTGTATAGATTCCTTGCTCACTTATTACTTAGGTCAGGGCACGCCCTGGTAAACCCTGCCCCAAACAGCGATACAGACTCTGCCCTTGGGATCCAGATATGTCGGGTCCCGCACACCCCCGCAGGTCCCTGGCTTGCACTCACCTGGGAAATCACACTTGTAGGGCCTCTCAGGCTCGAAGTGGCTGCGCTGATGGGAGTTGAGCTTGGCGTGTGTGGGGAAGCGCTCGGCGCACACCTCGCACTTGAACAGGCTCTCCTGTTCGTGGCCCTTCATGTGCGCCTTGAGGTTGTACACTGTGGTGAACTTCTTTCCGCAGCTGCCCACTGGGCAGCCAAAGGGCCGCAGCTTGTCGTGCGACTGCAGGTGCCGTTTGAGCTTGTAGGAGGTGGTGAAGGCCCAGCCACAGCCATCCAGCGGGCACTTAAAAGGCCGCCGGCCCTGGAGGCTGCCGTGCGTCAGCAGGTGCACCTTCAACTGGTGCTTCTTAGCGAAGCTCAGCGCGCACTGCGGCTCCGGACATCTGTAGGCTGGAGAGGTAGCGCTGGCGGCCACCGGCCCGCGGCGGGACGCAACAGCGCTCGAGGGTTCCAGGCCCGGGGTGGTCGCGGGATGCAGGCCCGGGGCGGCCGGCGCGGGGGCGGCGGCCAGCGTGAAGACGCCTCGGTCGAAGCGCACCAGAAGGTCCTGGTTGTGGATGGTGACGGTGCCCGCCAGAGCCGCGCCGGGGGCGGCGGCCGGGACCTGTTCCGTGGGGCTCGCGCCGGGGCCGGGCTCGGCCTCCTCCTGCCCGTGGGCGTCGGGCGCGCGCGGCACTTCCAGCAGTACCACGAAGGAGTCGCCGCCATCCTCCGGGGGAGGCGGGCTCGGCCCCAGGGCCTCCTCCCGACGCGGCCCGGGCCCGCCATCTTCCGGGCCCCTCAGCAGCAGCAGGCGGCGGCGCCCGGGACCAGCACCGAGGGATGGCCCCGCGCCTCGGCGAAGCCGGCTTGGACCACCGCCATGTTGGTCTCTGCGCGCGGCCGGGGCGGCGAGCAAGGCCGGGAGGTCCATCTTGGGCCCAGCTGTGGCGTCCGACTCACCGGAGAAGAGCGGCCCGGCCCTGCCAGGCATGCGCGCGACACCTAGTGTCCGCCCCCTCTACCCCTCCGGGAGTCTCTGTCAAAGCCCAGCCTAGAGTACAACCAAGAGTCGCGTCTCGAGTTGCGCGTGCGCAAGAGCCGTGGGCGTGGCGCGCGAGGGCTGTCGGGACTTTAGTCACGAGAGCGCCTGGGCGGGGCCTCTAATATGTGTTTGGTTTGAGTCCCAACTTGGAAAAAGGGTCTTGAGCTTTTAGCTCCTGCTTTTGCATCTGGGTAACGCAAAGGAATGAAAGCTAATCGCACCTCCTAAGAGTTCCTCCTGCTCTCTTTGCGTTGAAAGTACGAGCTAATTCAATCTGTGATTTCCACATGGTACGGAACTGGTAAACAGTCCACTTTGCTTGGCGTCTTCTCCATGACCTCGCTGAAGTACATATCTACCTGCTGCTACTGTAGCAGGTTTTGATAAGATCCCTGCCTAAACCACCTTGATTTATTTCCTTGATTCCTTGGTCAGTGTCGGCCTGCTAAATTATTAGTTGTTCCGTGAATTCTACCCCACTGCTGGAATTTATTCGGAATCCCTCCACTGCTGTCACCACCGCTCAAATTCAAATTTATTTCATTCCTAGGTTCTCAAATAACCAAGGGACCGGTCCTCAGCCTCCCTTCACCCACTGCACCCCGCCCTGAGCCTGTTTTCTTTAGGACAGGCTTAAGTCTTCTGAAAGTGCAAATACTATCCAGCCTGCCCTTTGCACCCACACTGATTTATACCCAACCCTTGATATGCAAGAGTATGCCCTTCTCCCTGTATCTACCCCAAAGGGATGGAAATATGTCTACACAAAACTACATGAATGTTTATAGTAGCCTTAGTTATAATAACTCCTCAGTAGAAACATCAGATAAGTATGTGTTCATACAGTGGAATATTTTTGAGCCGTATCATAGGATTCTGCAAGTTACGTCATGGCCAAACCTATGAAAAATATTTCAGAGACAAAAGAAGATATGTTATTATAATGCCATGTATATATAAAATGTCCAGAAGAGCTAAGTCTGTACAGACAGTAGAATAGTGGCTGCTGATGGCTACAGGAAGATGGGGAATTAGGACTAGCTTCTATTAGGGATGGGTTCCCTGTGAAACAATAGGTTTTGGCATGAGAGGTGCTGATTGAACAGCACATCTGTGATACAAAAGCATTGACAGCAATGGTTGTTATGTATTTTTCAGTTAAAATACATTTAAAAATCAACACAGAAACAGGACGATCACATTTGTTTGTATGGAATAACATTGTGCACGCGCTTACAGACTCTGAAATGTTTTCTAGAAAGATCCTTGATGCCACTTCTGAGGTAAGGTGGAGAAAGGGGCTTTGAGTACACCATATATTCCCTTTGACACTATTGAATTTATAGTTAGATGTGTGTGCACATGCGTGTGCATGTGTGGGGTCAAAGGACAACAACACCCAGTTCACTCCTTTCACCATGTAGGTTCTGGGATGTTTAACTTAGGTCATCAGGGTTGGTAGTGGGTACCTTTAAGCACTGATTCATCTCACTGACCCTAGTGGGTTTGTTTTAGACCCACTAGTATTTTAGTATTTTAGAAATTAAATTCTAGATTTTGAAATTATTTTTCTACTATGGAAAATGTTTTGATAATTCCTTAAAAACTTAAACATAGGATTATCCTGTGATCCATAGTTAGAGTTCTGGATGCAGACCCAGGAGCTGAAAGCAGGGCCTTGGGTAGACAGGCACATCTGGCTCCCAGAAGACTCACAGGAGCTCACAAGACCTTCAGTGGCTGAATGGCTAAGCAAATGCTGTCTATGGTATGCAGTGTATGGAAGGGCATTCTGCTGCATGCTGCTACGTGGATGAACCCAAGGACATGACACTGGGTAAGCCAATCAAAGGAGGAGAAGCACTATGTGATTCTACATCTGTGAGGTCTTTGGAACACACAAAATGTAGAAAAGGTAGACTGATGAATACCAGGTGCTGGTGAGGAGACTATGTTAGCTTGGGGAGGATGAAAAGCTCCTAGACCTGGCTGGTAGGGACTGCTGCATAGCACCATGATGTGCTCCAGGCCACTGATTTGCATGCCAGAATGTGGGTGGGATGACAAACTTTATATAATGCCTGTTTTACTACAATACCAGGAAAAAGAAAATGTGTTGGAAAGCAGTATATATCATGTGGGGATTATTCTCTTCTATGTTCTCTGCCTTTTCAAGAACATCTTAGTAATTTTTAGACCATCTGTCAGGGGGTAGATTCAGCTTCCTGGGCTTGCAAGGAATCATCTTGCCTGCTCTGCACTGTGCTCTCTTCTGTGTTGTTTCTCTAGGCCTCCTGACTCCAGTCTCCTACCTTCTGCTAGACTTCACCCTCTTTGAGAAACACTGTTTTTCTTCTACTCCTTCCAAATTGGGGTGCTCAGGTCCTAGTTCCAGCAAGGATCAGGGAAGGCACTGTGATTTTCAGGCAAGGTATGACATGCTGTTGTATTTTACAAGGATCTCCCTAGGAGTACAATCAGGCTGAGAATGGAGGCAAGGAACCTACATAGAGGCCAGTGAGAAATCTGAGCAAGACTGGCCTCATGGGAAACAGAGGAGGGCAGTCAATACAGGGCCCATTCCACACTACACAGTCAGTGTAGGCTGAGCCCTACCTATCCACACTGCTGTATTGGTGGATACATTTCAGTATCTCTCCACAAGATGTTTTTTTTTTTTGATGCTACTGTATGTAATTATCTTTTCAGCTAAATTTTACTTTAGTGTGTGTGTGTGTGTGTGTGTGTGTGTGTGTGTATGTGTGTATTCTACCACTGAGCGTCCCCCAGCCTCTATAAGAATTGCATTTTTATAAATAAGCATGTTCCTGGCTTTTAGGGAAAATGTAGAGTAGGCCCAGCCTAAACCTGCATGTTATTATAATCTCATTATATTTCAGTTATATGAAATAGAACTAAATTTACTTTAAATGAATTAAAATGTCAAAATTTAGAATTCAGTTTCTTGGTCACATTAGCCACATTTGAATACTGCCATGTGAAGTATCCATTCTATTGGAAGACAAGGGCTAGAAGCTTGTGCCCACTATTGCCTATTGCATCCTTCACAGTGCAGGGAAGTTCCTCTACGGGGAAGGGCTGGGGCTTCACTGGATGACAGTGCACACACTGGGGAGTGGAGGGGCCACACCAGTGCCATCTCTGCCTGATTCTCTGTTGTGGCACTACACAGAGAATAAAGAAAAACCAAGATTACCTCCCAAAAGATATCCAGGCATATTGGCTTTGCAGGCTCAGAGGCCCTGGTCCCTCCCTGAAGAGGGATTCATGAACAAGATGTACCCTGCCCTCAACCCAGGGGTCAAATTAGTGGTTCCATACCTACTTTTTGATTCAGGATATTTTTATTTTATGCAAGAAAGAGAGACCAAGAAACCAGAAAGCACGTTTTGACCTCTGCTATGGCTTGGCTGGTGTGCTAGAGGTTGGGAGGTCTTTAGGTTATTGGAACATGCCCTGGAGGGATTGTAGGTCTTGGATCCAAGCTTCTATTCTCTGCTTCCTGGCTCATAGTATAAGCAGTATGTTCTGCCATGTCCTATCTGCCATTGTCATTTGGCACTGTTGCCAGAGGCCCAAAGCAATATGACTTCGTGATTCTGGATGGGGACATCCAGAACGGTCAGCAATAGATCCCCTTTCTTTTCTCTTTGTAAGTTACTTGCCTCTTAGCCTTGGCTCAGCTTAGGGGACAACAAGCCTGTGATACTCCACAGCAGGTGGGCTGGCCTGGTGAACATTGAAAAGAGGGCACAGGGCAGTACAGTAGTAGGAGGGGCCCTGGAAGCTGGTTGGATTGCAAGGTCTGGGAAAGGTGTAAAATCCCAGCTTTAGGCAAATGCAGCTTGTGCAGGTTTCCAGATCCCAAACAGATCTCCAGGGACCTCTGGAAGTGGTTGGTTCTGTTTTTCAGGTTCACACAGATGGCCTAGAAAGGCCATCTTTCTCCTCTCCACGTGTTCTAATACCTGACCCCTTTTGCCTCAGACACTGTGTTGCCCACTCCTGCTAGCCCAGTTTATCTCATGTACTTGCTGATATTTTCTTCTTTATTTTCTGTGTATTCTCCTTCCCATCTTCAGCACCAAAGACTTGGTGTGAGTACTTGTGTACCCATGCCTTCTAGTTCTCTGAGGAACTAGAAGTGATGGCATAGATATGGGATAGGCAGATGGCTAGGAGAGCGGTGTGGGGACAGTGGTGGACAGGAGACTGAACAGCACATTGAGAAAGTCACAGAGAATCCTTGGAGGCTGATGCCAGCTTGGCCAGCATTCAGTGTTCCTTCCTGTCTAAGCTGGAGTTCACTCTTTTGCAGGCTTACATTCATGAACAAGACGTACCCTTCCCTCAATCCAGTAGTCAAAGACAAGTGCTTCCACCTTGATAGGCCTCCGTGGTTCACCATGTGAGACACTAAGGGTGCTATGTAGGGGTGTGGTGTGGGAGGAGCGCAGTGAGCTGAGTGGGGAGGGCAGCGGGAAGGAGGGAGTCGAGAGGACCCTAACTTTTCTCAGGGCCGAAGGGCCTGCTGTAGCACTTGTTCATCTGCCACCGCATGGGGAAGTGTCACTACCAGGCCACTGTTCTCCTGCATTGTCTGGCAGATGATCTCATAGGCCTTGGGGTTCCCAGACCAGCAGCGGCGTGCCACCTGGAGAAGCAGAGCACACGGCATCGGCATTGAGATCCCAGGGCTCTTCAGGTGCCTCCCAAACTTCGTGTCCTCTTCTAATTGGGGGATTTCAGAGTCTCCTTTGTATCTGCCCAGCTCACAATCCCTGCTTTCTTACCTGGAGTACGTAACTGACTTACCCTGTTTTCTGAACCAGTTATTATTCTACTCGGCCCTATGTCCCAACTCCAAGAATGACCTGGCATTTACGGAGCCCATCCCCATACCCAGAATAAGTTCATCCCTAGCACTCATCTTTTACCCTTCCAGAATCCTCATCAGCAAGATCCTCCTCATCACCATCAGCAAGATCCCTCCCTAGCCTGCTTCCTCCCTTGTTTCTGGTCTGTCCTAAATGATGGCCATGGCACCATCCCCTCCCCCCAGCTGTCACCCACCATCTCCAAGCCTCCCCCTAGCCTGTATCCATAGCACTGACAGTGAGGTCTCCTAGGAGGAGACCCCATCATGGCTCACTTCAATTCCTAGTGTCAGGACATAGAGCCCTGCCTCCTGCTGAAGTGCTGAAGTTTTGTGGTTTCTGGCGGTGCTCCTCCCCTCTCTCCGCCTCTGGGTACCTCAGTCATCCACTGTCTGCACTCTGGTCCTTTGCTCTGGAATCCCTCCTCATTTTGCTCATATCCTATATACTTTTCCTCATCTTTACCTGACCTCCATTCTCTGGTTGACCCTTCTGGGCTGCTTGTGTTGTGGTTTGGGAGAGGCGTCTTCCCCCTTTCCCTTACAGGATACTGTGTTACTGCCAAAGGTGGGTCATAGTTACAGGATTAAAGGCTCATCCAGCTTCTGAAATGTGCTCTTTGGCTGCCTTCGAAGGTGGCAGTGAAGGCTGGTGTACCTGTTTGACATTAGCAGAGCCCACCCAGCACAGCAAAGAGGAACAGAAACATAAAGCAGGGAAAGATAACCCTTAAAAGGGAGATCTTGCGGCCAGAGTACAGCAAAATGATGGAGGTCAGCCTGCCCTTGGCCCTGGGTTCCATCCCAGTGGCCAAGCAGTGAGAACCCCAACACCAGTGCAGGGGATGCTTCAGGAGGGAGGGCTGAGCCTGCCAGGGTCCATCTACATGGACAGAAGCTATACTGCAGGGTGGGACCAGAGACAAGGAAGCCCAAAGGAAAGTGTGGAGAGAGTTGGGAAGGGATGATGAAAAGGGTGCCCTGGGGATTGGAGAAATGGGTCAGCAGTTAAGAGCACTGGCTGCTCTCCCAGAGGGCCTAGGTTCAGTTCCCAGCACCCACATGGTGGCTCACAATCATCAGTATGCTCAGTTCCAAGGGACAAAATGCCTTCTTCTGACCCCTGAGGGTATGAGGCACACACATGGCACCCATACATGTGGACAGAACATCCAGATACACAAAATTAAATAAAAAATAAATCTTTTTTAAAAGAGAGGGATCCCTGGCAGAGCTACGAAGGGAGCAGAGGCCTTTATGGGGAGAGGCCAGAACTATGGCCCAGACTTCCAACCTGGATAGGCAGAGCCATGAAGGAAAAGAGGTAGGTGAGGAGTGGAGGAGTTCTGGGGAACTTACACCATTGGAGACATCCCAGCTGAGCATCATCCTGGCTTTCTGCTCAGCCTCTGGGGTTCCATCTAGCACCAGGCCAAATCCCCCATTGATCACCTCACCCCTGCGAGAGATAGAATGGTTCCCAGCTCACTTCCTGCATTGACTTGCTTGGAGTAGGCATGCTCTCAAGGCTTCAGGCATTGGCTCAAGAAGATATCAGCACTGGGGAAGCCTGTCACATTAACCTCTACATCACAAAGCCATGTGGTCTTACCCATTTCAAGTATACCTCCAAGACCTTCCCTGAATCACCTTCTGCTTGATGCTTGTTTGTTCACCAGAATGAGAAGCAATCTTTCTTGTTGTACCCAGGGTTTTGTACATGCTAGCCCGAGTGCTCTAGTATTGAGCTATACCCTGGTCTGAGACAGTGCCATGAGGAGGGAGGGATGTGCTTCTCAGGGCCCACAGAAGTGGTCATAAAGAGTAGATGGGCACACCGGGAGGCTGGCTGGAAGCTGCCATGCCACAGGTGGGCTGCTAGCTGCCAGATGCTCTGATCGCCCAGAAACTGCCTCAGCTGACTTACCTGGTCTCTGAAGTGATCCTGTGACATATCAAGTCTACCCACTTGCCATCCTTCCCATAGAAATAGCTCAGAAAAGTCTTTGCTAAGGTCCAATCTCTCTCAGTGACGCAGCCAAGTGGCTTTGTCCTACATACATGGCCTAGAGCACATGGGAGCTATAGCCAGTGGGTGCTCACACTATACATGGCCAGTGGACACACAGCACAAAAGCGGCCACCAAGGAGACACCCTAAAGGTGGGGCTGTGGAGGCCAAGGCCAAGGACTGCACTAAAATTGACACACAGCTGTGGGTGGTGACCTCGCACAGGAAAGAGCCTTTCAACAGTATCAGTAGACAGTCCAGGAAGTGGAAAAGCAAGAAGCCCGAGGACAAACAGCTTAGACACTTAGATTCCTGCCAAACAAGGAAAAAAAAACTGAAGCCACAGAACTGGGTGTGGCTTGTCCTTGGAGAGGCAACAACAGTGAGCCGGGGCCGCAAGCCCTTTCTTCGGTGGTGATTACCACATCCTCCCTGCTGAATCCCCAGACTGCTGCGTTTGTCTTGAGAGGCTTGGGAGAGATTCAGTCTCTTTTTAACAATCATGCTAGTCCCCTCCTGGGCACCCCAGGGAGTCCTTGTCTGTGCTGTTCTTCTCTAGCCAGAACATGCAGGATGGTCACATTTTCCATTAATTAAAGCCACCTGACTGGGCAGCAGCTAGGAATTCCAGCCTTGGTGGGCATGGGGCCAAACCAGCCATCTGAATACACTGGAAAGCTGTTTAATGAAAGGTCTTGGCTTTTCAGGATAGAGGATCCAGCCCATACTGGCTCAGAGGATCCTTGATCCAGCCCACACTGACTCAGAGGTTCTCTCTTTCTCTCTCTCTCTCACTCTTTCCTCCCTGGCCATAGCACCCCTGGCTGCTTCAGGACTCCAGCTTTGGCCTGCTCTGGGAATCCCAGACAAGACACCGTACCTCGATTCTGTGAGAGAGTAAACTGAAAAGAGGTCAGCGGATGTCACTATCATTCATTGTCTGAGGAATCTGAGTTAATACTCTCAGCCACAGAGGAATGGTCAATGCCAATCAGAATTAGAGTCCTGTAGTTTGGATTTCAGGTGTTCCCTTGAGGGAGGTGGTAGAACTTTTAAGGGTCATGGCCCTTGTGGAAGATTGTCAGGTCACTGAGAAAGTGCTCTTGAAGGCAAGGCCACATGAGATCCTGGTTTCTTCTTTCCCCTGTCATAGATAAATGGTTCTGTTCACACCCCTAGAGGCTCCTGCCATGCTGTGCTGCCTAAAGGCAGTGTGACCAACTAACCATGGACTGCAACCTGTGAAGCTGTGGGCCAGATAAACCTTTCCCCCCTGACAAGCTGCAGAAAGATGACCAACACAGAGGCCATTGCAGAGGCCCCAATGACCCTGCCCTAGTGCTGACTGGAAAGTGACCTGTGTGAACATAGCTATGAGCTGGGGAGAATGGGGAGCCTAGAAACTGTTGTCCTGGAAACCATGAGCTTCCACTCTTTCAAATGAGATATTTATAGTGGGAATGGGAATGTGGAAACAAACGTGGCTATTGCTCATGCCGGGCTTTGTGTCCTATATGATAGGTATGGGCCAAACTGATAGAGCTGCTTTATGCAAATCTTCCTCCGTCCCTCCATCCTCTGCACCCCAACATACTGACTCTCTGGCTCCCAGCTCATATGAGAAATGCATTTGCACAAAGCTCTCAATAGAACAAGTGGACAGGGATCTAACTCTAAGAACCCCAGGCCCCAGACCTGTCACTGTCCCAAGAGGACCCCATGGTCTCCACATCAGCCCAGAACCTGCTCTCTGATATCTCCTTACCATCCGACGCCGCCTCCGTTGTGAAGTGCAACCCAGGTGGCGCCACGACAGGCATCTCCCACAAAGTTCTGCACGGCCATGTCTGCAGAAACAGGGCAAACACGACCCATCATTCCTTGCACTAGGTCGTCCTGAGGCCAGATAGTCTTTTGCTGATTCTTGGGACTGAAGGACAGTATGATGGGAGCAAATAGAGGAACAGAGACAGGGAGGTCTAGAAAAGGTCGAAGCAAGAGAAATAGATGAAGCCCAGTTGTACCTACTATCCTTCCCCACAGCTACACTCTCTGGCACTGAATGCCCATGCATGCCTAGGGAGGGGATTGTAATGAATGACACTTCTTGACTACATCAGAGAAGTAAGGTCCCCACATTGGCTGCTGGACAGGTACTTGAGAGTCTATCACTTCAGCAAAGTGGGTGTGCTGTTCCTTTAAATGCTGTTAGTCCTCCTCCAAGTAGTACCTTTGCTCCGATAAGGCTCTCCAGAGAAACCCAGAGGTCACTGGGCTCCGTCTTTTGGATGAATTAGATAAGTTTGCTTATTATCACACTCAACTCTCTATCCAAGAGGCATTCCTGTAATATGCATACACACACACACACACACACACACACACACACACACACACACACATGTTTTTCAAGACAGGGTTTCTCTGTGTAACCTTGGCTGTCCTGGACTCACTCTGTAGACCAGGCTGGCCTCAAACTCACAGCAATCTGCCTGCCTCTGCCTCCCTGAGTGCTGGGATTAATGGTATGCACCACCACACCTCGCTTCCAACATTTCTTTGAATGTATAAATGTACATTCAGTATATAAAGCAATGTATAAAGCTCCGTGAACTCCAACTGAGCATACCTAGTTGTGAGGTATCTTCCTATACAAACATGCATGAGTTTTCCCAATAAAGAGCCTCTGTGCTTTGGTAGTGGTGCCAGGCCTTCCTCATTGGCTACAAGTAACTAGCCAGTCCTTACTGTTTCAGCCCTAGTTTTGGTTTTCCTCAGCTGCTTTGCAGCAACAAGGGCAAGCCCATCATTCCAGGACAGCCACACAGCCAGCACACTGTGGAGCCAGGCCCATGAAGCAGAACCTCAGCCAGCTGCCATTTAAGCATCTAACATGTTGAAGGACAGGTGTGAGTCGGTCTGTGACTATTGCCATTTTGCCATCCTGGCATAAAATTGCAGCTTCCTCTTGTAACTCTTGTATCTCACCCCACGTCCTAACAGAGATCAGGGAGCATAGGCTTTCCCATTTCTGGTGCTGAGTAAAGAAGAGGGGGAGAAGAAAGGGAAAGAGGAAGAGGAGGAAGAAAAAGAGGAAGAAAACCTGCAGCCTGGTATCTGGAAGACCACGAATCTACTTCCTCCCTTTGAGATGATGTCTCTTTATGTTACCCAGGATGCTTCTGATTCTTACGTTTGTTTGTTTTCAAGACAGAGCTTCTCTTTGTAGCTCTGGCTGTTCTGGAACTCACGCTGTAGACCAGGCTGGCCTCGAACTCAGAGATCCACCTGCCTCTGCCTCCCAAGGTGCTGGAATAAAGGTGTGTGCCACCACTGCCAAGCTGGATGCTTCTAATTCTTAAGCTCAAGTCATACTCCCTACCCACACTCAGCTGCCAGAACTGCTGGGATTATAGGTGTGCACCTCCTCAGCTCACTACTGTTAAGTGACAATAGTCCTTTGGTCTTCCTTACCTGCGCAGAAGGCAGAACCATCATAAATATTGGAGGTCTCCCTAAAGGGGCTGTCAGTGCCACTCACATCATGGTGGTCACGGCTCAGGACCACTGGTGCCTGCAGAGACAGCAAAGGGTATTATCAGTCAGTAGTGTCTCCCAGGCTTATTGGCATGAGGCAGAGGATGGAAGTGGGGTCACTCCAGAAACAGTTTGGATTTCTTCGCCTTGAAAATAGACCCAGACTAGCAAGAAGAAGCACCCGAAGTTGTTGGTGGGTTCCTGTGTTCCAGGTAGCCCATCATGAGAGCACACACCTTCACAAAAACCCTACCTACATAGCAGGACTGCTAACATGCTCACGTCGTAGTTATGACACAGAGGCACAAAGAGGCTAAGGAACTTGGCCTACACCTAAGAGCTTGAGCGCTGGTAAGCTGGGGTATAAATCTGTACATGCTATCTCAAGTCTGGGCTCCACCCTTGGGACCATGATCCCTGAGCCTTTGCAGTGAGGGAAGGGGCTAGAAGACAGCCTTGGGTGTGTGGGTGTAGGTGAGGGTAGGCACAGCTAGGAAGTGGCCTGAGAAGCAGAGGTATGGACAAAACTCCCTATGTAGTGTCGGGCAGGTCACCTCTCCACCCTTGGGCCTCGATTATCTGTGCTAGGTAATTTTATGCTGCTAGTGTCTGTGAGGACAAAGACCACATGGTGAAATCAGTCACATGTGCAAACAGTGCTCCCTCTATTCTCAAGATTTCAGGACCCCTGCCTAGTAGGTAGAGGGGCAGCTTTCCTGCCTGTGCCCATGTCGTGGAATGCCACTAACCCTCGAGGCGCAGTGGGTGTGGCTGAAGACAGGTGGGCTCAGGTCTCTTGTGCGGTACACAGCCTACTCCCATAATGAAAGTAAGCTTTTCCTCTAGCCGTATTAGGTCAGAGGGAAAGAGATGGGCAGAGGGGACCTGGAGTTAGCAAGATGGCACCAGGGGAGATATGGGCACCTCCACTGTCAAGTATGCTCCTGGCTGTGGTCAAAGGAAGCAGTTCCCAGTGCCCATGGGAACTGCCACTTGGCTCCAATGAGGTAATGCTGTTCCTAGGCCTAGCCCAGGCATGTTCCTCAAAGCGCACAATGAAGGAGATACGACTAGCCTCCCTAAACCTCCACAGTGGTTCTTTGAATTTCAGAGGCTCACCAAATATGATGCAACCTGCTGGGAGGCTTGAGCTCTCCATGGAAAACTCAGAAGCCTCCAGCTGCCCTTACCTTCCTTAAGCCATGCTGTGCCTATGACTTCATCTTTGCAGTGAAATTACTTTCCGGCACCTCTGGTCATTCAGGGCTCAGCTGAATACCAGCAGTCCAGGAAGGCCTGTCCTGACCAACCATGGATCTCCACCTCATCACTTGACCCGTGTTTTCCCAGGGCTCCTGACACCTATAAAATCTCCTGACTTATATCTACGTTATGAGTCATCCTTATGTGTTATCAGATGTGGTGAGCTCTGAGGCTGGGACCTTGTGCATCCTGCTGCCTGCTGTGCTGAGGCACTAGCACAGTAGAATTCTACCAAACGGTGTCCAATGAACAAAAGATGGAGAGCGCTGTCTTGGAGGCCAGCAGGTGCTTCTTAGCAGCCCTCACACACAGTGGGACTTAGGGGAGCACCCCAAATCGCTCAGGATGTTGTCCTTGCTGCGGGTGCCGGCCTCGGGTGTGAGCCTGAGCCATCTGCAGGGATAGCTTTCTATACCTCACACTTTTCTTTAGTTCTTCCTCGCCCCTGAATAGTGTTCCCAGTACTCCAGACAGAGCAATGCCACCAGGAGCAGGACACAAGTCCCCGAAACAAGAAGGAAAGGAGGAACCAGAATATTCAAGTACATGGGCTCAGGGTTCAGGGTCTCCAGAAATGGAAGAAGAATGAGCCAAGTTTAGCCAGTTTCCACCGTTTGGAAAAGGTAACTCAGAAAAGACATGCAGCATTATTTTTGTGGACTGTGACTTGCTTGAGTCTCACAGCCACATTAGGTGTTTCAGCATGCTATTCTTTACAGCAAACAGGGAAACTCAGGGTCAGAGTGACCTGACTTGCCTAGGCCACAGCAAAAGAGAGACACTGTTGGGACTTGTGCTTGAATAAGCCTGCTTACTCCTTGCCTCTTGTTCCCCCACCACAACAAGATCTGTTCAGAGCTAGGATTTCGGGAGGATGCTAGGGCCTTCATGCTCTACTTCCCTCCCATGTATCTCCCAAGCAGGGCCATGGCGCCAGAGCAGCTCTTCTCTAGGTCCCTCTGATCATTTGCTCCAAGGACTTCAGGGAACCTAGTGTTCCTACAAGGGTACTCAGCCAGGAGAGGGTGAAAGTTCCCTGCTACTAGGGCAGGGCAGTGGTGGCAGCAGCTTTCTCAGAAAGTTGGAAGGGTGGGAAGGAAAGACTGGGATGTGAGCGGAAAGTCCTAGCCGCAAGGCCTGTGTGCTAAGGTGTCTATGGAACCTCCTTAAAGCAAGCTATGTTACCTTTATCTTCCCACTGGCGATGGCTTGGTTAATGGCCACAGCAACGGCCACACGGCCTTTCTGGTCTGAGTACAGGATCCTCGCCTGGGAGCCCACCACCTGCAAAGGAGAGAATAAGAAAGCCCCTCAGCCAAAATGCAAGCATCCAAGAGCTTGGTACAGAAGAGACGTGAGTGATACTGGAGCCATTTTACCACAGCCTGCTGCCCTATCTAGGGAGACCACAGAGGACCCAGAGATTCATGGCAACTCTGAAGTATGGGGTCCTGGGCACATCTCTCATCAGGCCTTCTAGATACCACACCGGTGGGCCAATGCATGTCCACAAATGGACTTCTCACAAGGTCTAGGCCACCTCATTCCTTTCTTTAAGGTCTATCCCTGAAGCACTCCCGGAGACTGACTCCATGTGTGCCATGAAGGTTTTCTGTTGTGTGCTCTGCCTCTTTGAGCTCTTTCCACATTATAATAGTACCAATGTGAGACTTGATCGAACCTGGCTTGCTGCAAGAACTCTTCCTACAATCCACTGTGGAGTATTCAGGAAGATGCTGCATTATTGTCACAAGCCTGATCACACAGATGAGGAAACTGAGGCCCAGACAGATGGCTAACCTCCCTATAGGTTGGCACGTGAGCCTCATGTTCTTATATTGTACCTCTGGAAGGAAACGCCAGTGACCCACCAGAAATGAAAATGAGTAAGTTCTTAGGCCCATGGTTCTCCACCAGGTTGCTACTTGGCGATGGCTGCAGATAATTTTAGGTGGTGTCTGGACTCCACAGAGATTAATTCAGACCCCCTGAGTGTGGGAGTACGGCAGCTTCATTCACAGGGCCAAGAGATGGAAAAACAACACAGGTGTCCAGCAGCTGAAGCGTGGACAGGAAAACTGGTCTAGCCGTGTAACAGACTAAAGCCCATATCTCCAGCTTTTGCCCCTGCAGATTCAATTAGCCACTGATCAGGAATGTTCAGGAAAGCTGGGTGTGATGGCACATACCTTTAACCCTAGCCGTCAGGAGGCAGAGCCAAGCTGAGCTCTGTGTGTCTGAGGCCAGCCTGGGCTATACAGTGAGTTTTAGGACAGCTAGGGCTACATAAGACCATAGCTTTACAAAAAGTTCAGGAGAAGAGTTAGGGGAGATACTTCAGTGCATCAAATGTTTTTTCACACAAGTATGAGGACCAGAGTTCAGGTCCCCAGCACCCACATAAAAGCTGAGCATACAGGGCAGCCCACCTGTCATCTCAGTGCCCAGTAGGCTGAGGTGGTGTCCTTGGAGCAACCATACTAGGTAGACTGTGAGATCTAGGTTGAACAAGAGCCCCTACCTCAGAAAATAAAAAGTGCAGAGTAATCAAGGAAGACACTGCCAACTTCTGGTCTCAAACACAGACACACATACACAGAATCAGCACACATATGTGGTGCACAGATGCAAACATGCATACACATGCATGCATACCACACATATACACATGAAAGAAAAAAAAAGAACATTTAGGGAAACAAACCACCTATGTTGAATGTGCATGGGCTTTTTTTCTTGTGAATATTTCCTAAGCAACTCGATATTTAGCGTTTGCATGGCTTCTACCTTGTCTTAGTTCTAGCCAGTCATGCAGAGGCAATGTAAGGCATGTGGCGGGCCTGTTATAGGTTCTGTGCCAACATGAGGTCATGTGTATTACGGATCTGAGTGGGCTGTGGTATCCACTTGCATCTGGAAACCACCTCCTCTAACCTCGGTATTAGAGGGAAAGCGATAACATTCCAGCCTTGGAAGGGCAGAAGGGTTCTGAATCACACTGCACAGAAAGACCTTGAGACATGTCAGCTGGAGCCAGCTAATCAGGACTAGAAAACACTGTACTGCCCCACCCTTTAGGGGCCCCTAGGGCACCTGGGGCTCGGGAGGGAGGGAGGTTAGGGTTTACTAGAAATTGTTTCAGATGGAGGAGGAGAAAGTTCTGGAAATGGATGGTAAGGGCAGCTCCACAGTCCAGAGCTGTACCCCAACAATGCTTAAAATGAGGATGGAAAGATTTGCGCTTACGTGTGTCATATATTTTGTTACAATTTAGAAGATGCCTCCTCCCCAAATGTTGGTAGTGCCTGGGCTGATAAACCACAGTTTCTCTAAAGAAGGGGCTGCATGTCTGCCCCTCTTACCTGGGGAGCTAGGCAAAACTGTGCAAAAGGTGGCAGGGACAGGCAATGGGGGTCGTTCGTATCTTACTGAGCCCAGGGTCGGCATGGACAGTGAGACCAGTGTTCTCAGTGGGGCTGGCAAAGGGCCTTGGTTACCGGGGGCCTCCAGCTCTCTCTCTCTCTCTCTCTCTCTCTCTTTGTCATTTGTTCAGTCTGAATCAGTGCTGTGAGGTGTCCAGATTCCTTGGGGGAAATGAGGAAGAAATGATTCAAATGGCGGTGGTAGTGGCAGTTAATCTGCATTGTGCTGGATTGCACCTCAGACCGTGAAGCACAGTAAGTGTTCTCCCCTTGAGTTGCTTCTCACAGCACTGAGAAGGATGGCGAATACAACGGTCAAGTTTGTCAAGAGCATCACATGCAAAAAGAATTAGCAGTTTTCGAGTGAAAAGCACCTTGAAGTAGGGTGGGCATCTGAGCACATCCACTCAGAGGTGGACAGCTCTTCCTGCTTGCTGCCCCTGTGACGGTGTGCTTTGAACCCTCTCCCTGTAGCAGCCCCAGACAGTTGTATCCCTGCTGCTGGCTCTGCCTCTCCGTCAGCCTGGTTTGTGCATTTTGCCTGAAGCCCTCCTTCTACCCTAGCCCCAGCCCCAGGCTTCCTGGCTTGGACCTGGGTCATAGACACTATGGATGGCACATGGAGTTTTATGGGGAGGCATACATGCAAACAAACTATGGCTCTAGAATGGGATGACGCATGGTGGGGAACAGTAACCTCTGGCCAGAGAGACCTGTTAGCTGGCATAGCCGTGTGTGAACCAAAGGTTTCTTCCTGATTTAATTCCCTCAGTCCTCTTATACTCTCTAACCAGGGCCTGGTGGCTCCTCTCTGTCATCAGGCACCCCTTCTGGCCAACCACTTGTCCCCTGCTTTGCTGTCCTTCACCTGTGTGCTCAGCTCTGGGCCTGGCAGAGCTGTGCCAAGGGCGGGTCACAGAGGCTCACTGCAACCTCCAGCACCACTGCGTCCGTGTCATAGGGTTTGAACCACCAACTCAGGGCATTCAGCTGAGACTGTCACAGAGCCACCCAAGGTGCCTGAGCTCCCACCTCCCACAGGGACTCCGGAGACGGTTTGTGGGGTGACTGAAGGAAGGAAGACCTTGTTTGTGGCTTCAGAGCCCCAAGCTACCCTTTTTACCCACTCTTTTTTTTTTTTTTTTTTAAATCAGTGAGGCGCACTGTCCTGGGTAGTTTTATGTCAAGTGGACGCTAGCTAGAGTTATCTGAAAGGAGGGAACCTCGACTGGGGAAATGCCTGCCTAAGATCCAGATGCAGGGTGTTTTCTTAGTGATTGATGGGTATGGGCCGAGCCCATTATGGGTGGTGCCAGCCCTGGTAGCCCTGAATTGTATAACAGGCTGAGCAAGTCAGACAAGCAAGCCAGTAAGCAACACACTTCCATGGCCTCTGTATCAGCTTCTCCTGCCTCCACATTCCTGCCCTATTTGAGTTCTTCCTGTCCTGACTTTTTTCAGTGATGAACTATTACCTGGAAGAAGCATAAGCCAAATAAACCTTTTTCTCCCCAACTTACTTTTTGTCATGGTGTTTCAGTGCAGTAAGAGAAACCCTGGCTAAGATATACACATCAATTTGACTACATTACTCATTTTTCAGCGTGCTGCTTGGCAGCATGGACCTCCTCACACGCAGTGCTGTGCAGCTGGTGCTACCATCGGCTCCAAAACTCTGGCCCTATGAAACACTGACTCTTCCTCAGCCCCTACACCGCCCATCCCTGGCACACACCCTGCTATTTCTCTGTCTATGATTTGCCTACTCTAAGGGTTGGTGAGTGGCATCTTACAAGTTTGTCCTGTGGCTGGCTTTTTTTTTTTTTTTTTTTTTTCACTTAAGATCATGTTTTTCAGTTTCACCTATGTGCTAATGACTGGCAGAATGCCCTTACTTGGCACATTGTAAGGAGAGACATTTGCTGATCAGTTCATCTGCCAAGAGCCCTTTGGATTGCTTTGGCATTTCAGTTTCAGTACCTACAGGACCCTGAAATCTGTTTCCAGTCCCTCTTAGCCAGCATGGGATGGCCAGATTACATCGCTTTACACTCCCACCAGCATTGTCTAAGGGTGCCAGTCTCTCCATGTTGCTACCCAGACACCCTTTTCCAAGCACCTTTCCTGGAGAAGGTGGCCACCACAGTGCTGCTGTCAATGGTCTTGTGGATGCAGGGTCCGCACCTCTCAGGACATGGCAGGATGGCTGCTGGGACCGTGCTGAGACTTCCATGGCTGCACCTTGTTTCTGGGCGGTCTCTTGACAGCTCAGCCCCCTCTAGAACCCGGCAGTACCCATTTCCCCCCTTGCTAAGCTCTCACCAGCTGGTGCTTGGCAGCTTCCCGGATCCAGCGGATGTTATCCATGTACTGTAGCTTCACAGATGGCTTTACTGCAGGGAGAAAAGGGAGGGGCATCTCAGGTCCTGGAAGCTGCTGCCAGGGGCCCCAACTCCTTTTTCTGCTGGATGTTTGCCACAGGCACCTGAAGTCCATGAGTGATCCCCCCTACACTAACCTCCCTGAATTTGGGAACCAGTGCAATGATGACATGAATTAGGGTATGGGCCTGTGCAGCCCATTGCTGAGGCATTCGTTTCCTCAAAGAACACCTACTGTGTTCTACAGTAGGTAGAACTGTAGGTACTACAAAGAGTACCTACTGTGTACCAGACACCAAGCCAGCCACAGGAACAAGAACTACAGTTGGCTGTGAACAAGAATGTGAATAGGTGGCTACCAGGGTGACACATTAGGGGGATAAAGGCTCCTCAAGAAAAGGAAGGTCAGAGTCCTCAATGCTGAGAAGCTCTGTGGGAACAGAATCCAGACAGAAGGAATCCAGGCCCAAAAGTGAAAATGCATGTGGCCTACCCCAGCAGAGACAAGAGGGGAGAGTTGCTATGCTGGTCTGAGCAGCTCATGGGAACAGACTGGTACTGTAAGAGCTGAGACTCAGCAGTCAGCACAGGGAACATCAATACTTTACTGAAATAAGCTCACACTTCAAAAACTATGTTTGGGATGAAGGCAGTGCTTGAACTCATCACCACTCGTGACTCTACAGCCCTGCACTGTAGTCTGTACCCTGGAGGTCCTCAGTATCTGTCTGCTTTGCCTGGTGGAAGCTCCCCAGGCTGGACTGTTCCTGCTCTGCAAACACAGGTCACATTGTAGCTGGACGCTGGCTGTGCTGGGGATTTTCATGCCACCACATCTGTAGGTGTAACAGCACTCGGCCTCTTTGTGGGAACTGGATGGTAGTCATCCAGCTGACAGCCAGCTGTGTCTGCTTAGGGCCAAGCAGCTGTTCTGAGGCAGAGATGCTGGGAAAGCAGCTTCCCAGTTGGGCCAGTTATCCCAAGGTAAAACCCCAGCAACTCCCTTCCACTTGGTCTGGCCTCCTCTTTGCACTTGACTGACAATGTCAAGAACATTAGAAAGGACAATGTGCTTTAGGAAAGCAGCAGGGACATAGGAAGACCTCAGATATCCAGCTAAGAGGCAGAACCAAACCTCTCCATCTATGACCAAGATGAGCTCAGGGACATCAGGTGGGTGTGGACAGGGCCTGGCATAGGGGTGGCATGCTCACAAAAAGCAGCAGAAGTGAATGAATGAGAAGTGCTCCCCACAGCAACAAACAAGGCCAACGCTCAAGTGACTCCCTAAGCCACTCTTGGAGTAGGGGGCCTTCAGGAGAGCCAGCAGCTCATCAATATCCAGCAAACCCAGGGACTGTGGGGCTTTGCACTATTGAAGGATGATGGAAATGAAGTCATTTGAGGCATAGCCTTGAAGATGTTGGGATTCCAGCCACTCCTCCATTCCAAAATAATGGAGCCAACTGAGCACCGCTGAAACCTTTGAAACCTTTAGCCAAGAGCCTAAAGAAAACCACCCCAATTTAAGAGGATGGCTGGCTCATTCAGGTGTTTGTCATGGCTACAGATAGCTGACTGATTTAAGTTCCCTGTGACTTTACAACCATCAAGGATACAGGCGGAGCTGAGCACAGGGCTGGAGGGCAGAGCCTAATGTGTGTGTAGGCAGCATGCTCAAGGCAGCTTTCAGAGAGGAAGGGGAGGTCCCCTTGTGCAGCAACCTCTGGCCCCGAGATTCATGCAGAATCTGACACTAGCCACCGGGTGCTCTACAGAAGCAGGGGTTTTGGGAGGCCAACCCTTCTTGAGACCTGCCCACCCACAAATAGCACCTCCATCGGCAATGACTTTCTCCAGCACAGATGTGGCCAGATGATCGGTGACAGCCAGGTCCTGGGGGTTCCCTGACGTGCATACCCAGCGGAAGGGCCCGAAGCCCTGGGAGAAGATATCCCTGCAAGGACAAATGTCCCCTTAGCCAGGACCTCCTGGGATGCCAGCACCTTCCCCATGAGCTGGGGAGTGGCATGTAGCCATGCCCAGCAGAGAGGGGCAGCATCTAGAATGAGCTCAAGCTGTAGGCCCCTAAAGCAATAAGTCTTCCTGTTCCTTCCTGCAACTCTGCCTCCTCCTTGACCTCTGCACCCACCTCTAAACTTGTACCACTTCTCCTCTACCGGTAGGAGCAGGGAGATGAGACAAAGACAAATGGACATGCTCTGAAACTACTCTCATAAAGATGACATAGAAACCAGACATCTAAAGTAAACAGTTGAGAAAAGTGGGTGAAAGTGTAGACTCGACCCAGCCTTCCCCAGTGACTCAGCTTCTATGACAGTTGAAGTGGGACAGAGGGATGCTATGGCCTTGGGCTGTCCTAGCTCCATACTTGCCGAGCCAGGCTGGGTGTATCCCTGCTTCTCTTCTCTGGGAAAAACACAACCATTCTGCACCCCAGTGTCCCAGCCTACCCATGGCCCTGCTTCTATGCACAGTAGAAGGTACCTTCTGCCTCCCTGGATTCTGACCCTGTCTTCCATCCTTCTCTGGTCCCCTCTATGCACACTGAGACTCATGAGTCTGAAAGTCCAGACTCCTTGACCAGTCTGCCTTGGCTCAGGTTTCCCCTACACCCCTGTTTCTCTCGACTGTTGGTCCTTCTCAGACCTCTCCTGAGCAGCCAGATGGCCCGAGGGCTTCAAGCTAAAGCAGGTCTTGGTCTTCAGGATCATGTCACCATCCAGAGGACAGCTTTCTGGCTGTATCATTTAGGAAAATGAGTGGGTAGATGGCAGGGTGGTATGCAAGGGGAGGACCTTGTTTTCCAGGCCCCATGGTTCCCTGTTCTCTCACTGATGCCCTGTAGAAGCCCCTTTCTGCATGTGTGTGTCACGTGGAAATGCTGTGACCACTACCTGACTACTTCCCAGCTGGGTGAGGTCTCAGCAAACAGCCCTGTTGTGATCAGTGCCAGAGGCTCTTCTAGCTGGAGGTCCTGAGAGGAGCAGAAATGGTCCTAGACACCCCCAAATGGGGGCCCCATCACTCACCCCATTATGTGCTGGACATAGGAGGGGTAGCGGAACTCCGTCTTGTTGGCTCCTTTCTTCTCTACATCTGCTCCTGTGCCCAGAGTCACCCATCTGTGTGAGCGCCCATGACCACACAGGCAGGAATTTAAACAAGGGGCCCTGGGAAAGGCTGGGAACACAGTCTCAAGATCTTTTGTTACGCAAAAGAAGAGGAGAAAAAGCACAGTGCAGCTCTGGATGGCATATTGCCATCGGTGTGGTTTAGGTATAGGAATAGCCATATCAGCCCAGTCTCGGCACAAGTACCACTTAGAGGACCTCCCCTCACTAGCGGTCTGCAAAGGGCCCTGCACATGGCCATGGAGAAAGGCCTGGAAGGAGAAAAATCTCTCGTGGATGCTTGGCCTTTTAAAGTGCGAAGAGACGTTGAGGCCTGGCAGGACCAGCTTCCAGAAGGAAGCACTGGGTGAGATCTCCCAGGTACTCACAGGGTGACCATTTGGCTGAGTATGAAGTGGAGAGGGAAGAGTTTACCCAGGTCTGCTCACACAGCCTCCCCCGCCCACATCGCTTGCCCAGCTTCCTCCTCTGCCTACCTGCTCTCTGAGCCTCCAAGAGGAAGGCATTACCATAGTCCCAAAAGAAGAACTTCTCCTGGGCCAGCCTGTTGATGGCTGAGACGTGCCTCCTCAGGCTGCAACAAACATGTGGTCAGCCCTCAACCCAGATCCCCTGGCCCAGATCCACAGCCGCATCCCAGCAAGCCTCTCCAACGCCTGCTAAACCCAGTGCCAGAAAGTCTCCTCTAGAAAGAGCTTCCTCTGGCTCACTGCGACTGCTCCCAGTGCCACTGATTCTCATAACTACCTAAAACACGGAGCCCCTAAACCAGCATTCTCCATCAGACCCCGGGGTCTGATGTATCAGGTGGGGTACTGTGGGTGTCCCTGGCGTGTACCCAGCATGGACATGTAAGCTGCCCTAGGGATTTTACAAACATCAATTCAGTTTGTCCTATCATTCCCCAAAATGCTATGCTTGTAATCCCCTCTTAAGGAAGGAAGCTGGGGCTCAGAGAGGTTGGGAACCTAACGGTTCTGCTGCCCTGCCTGGAGCCCTTTCCTGTCGCCCACCTTTCCTGCACCAGGTGCTTGAAGGCAGCAGGGTTGGAGGACATGAGGCTCTGGGCCTCTGAGAAGCTGAGCTGCACAGGGTAGTAGCCGCCATTGAATGGGTTGTGACAGGACGTCTGGTCCGATCCGAGATCCACCAAGAGCTCCCCTGTTGTGTTCAGTTCATGGACCAGGCGCTCCCTGAGGGAAACAGTGGGATAGTCAGAGCAGGGCAGGCATGCATGGGTTGGAGGAGGGCCAGCTGGTGGAAACTGCATCCCTCATCTCCACCCACACACCCTGTAAGCTGTATTTGCTTTCTCCTTTGCAAAGTGCATGTGGATCCGGGTGAGGGTGATGGCCTTCCCGGGAAGGACAGAGCTGAGGTTCAAAGCTTGTGACTTGGAAGCGCTTGGTTAGCACCCCTGAGGTACCCAAGTCATCAATTTCCACTTACCAAAGATCCACCACATTGCCATGGTAGCCAAGGCTGAGTACCTCCTTCTTTTTTCTTGCTTCTCTAGAAGGACACAAGACAACAGATGCCCCACACTTGTCCTCAGCTGTCCTGGATGCAGCCTGTTCTGCCTACACACAGGGAGCTCAATGCTTGCCAAATGTGCCATACCCAGGAGGCCACCTAGGGTGTGTGAGTATGAGTTTGTGTGAGAGTGCAGGCCTGTGTGTTATTGTAGCCTGTGTATGAGTATAAACCTCTCTCACTATAAGTCTGTGTGTGATTATGGTTCTATGTGTGAGTATGAGTCTGGGTGGGCCTGCATGGGCCTGTGTGAGTTTGAGCCTAAGTGACAATGGGCCTGGATGAGTGAGGGCCTGAGTGTAACTGTCGGCCTCTGTGCTATTGTGGGCCTCCATAGGCCTATGTGGGTTTGCACCTGCATGAGTGTAGGCCTGGAGGAGTGTGCTAGGATGAAGTATGTTCTCTCAGACCCCATGACACAAAAAGAGAAAAAAATGCAGGCTGGAATGTCCCAGTTGGTTGAGCTGAGATGCAATGGTTTCTGAGAAATGTGTGTCTAACTCTAACTGGCTCTTCAAGGAACACTCTTATGGGGTGGGGCATGGAAGTGGTAAGACTAAAGAGGATTCCACAATTATTTGAAGAAATAGAAATAGATAAGAAGATGACTATAATTAAGCCGGACATGGTGATACACACCTGAAATTCCAGTACTTGGGAGAACAAGGTGGGAGAGTCTCAAGTTCAGAGCTCCATGGCTTGCCCACAAGCCAGCAGCAATATTCCATGGGAAATGGAATCTTTAGACAACCCTCCCATGACACTCCCAGGCTGGAACCTCCGGATGACATCCGTGGTCAGACAGTAGGCACTGACTGGCCCTAGCCATGCTTTCACCCAATGCTCAGGGTCCAGTGTTCTGAGTCCCAGGCAGCCGACTGTACCTGAGTCTCGCAATGCAGCGGTCCAAGCTGTCAGTCACCTCCATCAGCCAGCCTTGTCGGTGACGTTTTACAAGTGCCGCTTTGTCAACCTGAGGCCATGGGACATAGGCCATCCATTAAACATTGTCCTTGAACAACCCCTTGAGGGGTGCCACCCCATGCAGCCCCATTCCACCTTCATGGTGCAGCCTCAGGGCAGTCACTACAACCAATGAGGAAAAGAGAAGGGGCTTCTGAGATGTGGTTTCCCTGCTGAGATAGTCAGCCAGAACCCACATGTCTCTTCTTACTTCCTTCTGCTTTGAGTGTGGATGGCATGGCTGGCTGGGGCAGTGACTTTATCGCCATGAGAGAAGCCCCGGAACATCTAGAGGAGCTAACACTGACATCATTGAGCTGCTGAACAAATGCCAATACTGTCCGTTACATGAGGAAAAGAAAACCCATATTTATGTAAGCTTCTACAGATGTCCTCTGTTACCTGCAGCCCAACACAGTCCTAGAAAAGCTCAGACATGCAAGATACAGGAAATACATCAAATTACACTGGTATGTCCCCAAGACACACAAGCTCCTCCCTCCTGCTCTCCCCCTTCTGTCCTGGACCTTGGCATTTTCCAAAGAGATATGAGCACAAGCTCCCTGTGCACACCTCTGTCAGAGGGAAGCTTGTCTACCCCCTTCACCTGATGCCAGCTGCTAAAGCTGGGGGAGGGATGTTCTCTACTAATTAATTCACAAGCATTTATTCTCTCTCATCTAGGTTCCTCATCTAAGAGAACACAGGAAACAATGGCTGCACACTTGCTGTTAAGAGCTTCACAGGCTGGCGGTTAGCAGGCATGGAACACTGAGGGTGGTGGGCACCGTGCAAACAGGATCCATGTTTTGCTATTGGGACCCACCCAGCAAGGCTTTGTGGAGGAGGTCAGGGGGTCCGGGAAAGAAAACCGGAAGCAAGTGGAGTATAGGAAGAGTGGAAAGGTGTGGGGGACGGAAGGAAAAAACAGAAGGAATGAGATGGAAGGAAAGAAAGGAAGCAAAAGAACAAATGAATCATTCAGAGAGGTTTGAAGGGACAGGCAAAAGATCCCCAGCTTACCTCTGCTATCACCCCAATGCATCCAACGATGGCTGCAGCCTTGGCTTGAGCCCCACTCATCCCGCCAAGCCCAGAGGTGACGAAGACTTTCCCTGCCAAGTCCTCAATGCCCAGGTACCGCCGACCAGCATTCAGCACGGTGAGCTACAGGCAGGGGAGGAAGGGTGTTTATTGCTCACGTCCAGCATATCCACCTTCAGGGACCTGCCACTCATCACGTGCGCCCGTCTCTTACCACTGTGCCATGGACGATTCCCTGGGGACCAATGTAGCAGTAGCTGCCCGCTGTCATCTGGCCATACCTGAACAGGGAGGAAAAGGCCAACACTTAGGAGCTTTAGAGCAAACCTTGAATCACTCTCAACGTGCCCTGCATTCTCCTTGCTCTAACAGAACTGGAGGTCATTATAGCAACCAGAAGAAGCCAGAGTCAGAGTCGGTCATGGAAGCAGAAGGGGGGCTTCTCAGGGGAGAAAGGGAACTGGCAAGAAGGAGAGACATGCCTAGGGAACAGTGCGGAGGATGAATACAAAGTATCTATATGGGGCTGGAGAGTCAGCTCTGTGGTTAAGAGCACTGGCTGTTCTTCCAGAGAACCCAGGTTCAGTTCCCAGGACCCACAGAGCAGCTCACGGATGTTCATAGCTCCTGTTCCAGGTGACTGAGTGCCCTCTTCTAGCCTCCATGGCTATTGCATGCATGTGGTGCACAGACATACACACCAGTCTGTGCACATAAAAAACCAGTCATACACATAAAATAAAAACAAAACTAAAGAATAACTAAAATGACATATGTGTATAAAAATATCATGGTGAGACTCATTTCTCTGCACTTTAATCAAAATATTTAAAAAAAAAATGAAGTTAAGTGAAAACAAAAAGGTAAGGATATAATACGTTAGAGCCTCCTGACCTCTCCTGTCTCCTGGGTGTTTTACAAAAAGATTTTATTCTCCAAAAAAAATCTATCATACAATTAATTTTCTTATTTTTTTTTATTTATTACAATTCATTCACTTTGTATGCCAGCTGTAGCCCCCTCCCTCATCTCATCCCAATTCCGCCCTCTCTCCCTCTTCTCCCATTCTTCTTCCCCACTCCACTGATAGGGAGGTCCTCCTCCCCTTCCATCTGACCCTAGCCTATCAGGTCTCATCAAGGCTGTCTGTATTGTCTTCCTCTGTGGCTTGGTAAGGCTGCTCCCCCCCTCAGGGGGAGGTGATCAAAGAGCCAGCCAAGGAGTTCATGTCACAGCCAGCCCCTGTTCCCATTACTAGGAAACTCACTTGGACACTGAGCTGCCATGGGCTACATCTGTGCAGGGGTTCTAGGTTATCTCCATGCCTGGTCCTTGGTTGGAGTATCAGTCTCAGAAAAGACCTCTGGGTCCAGATTTTTTGGTTCTGTTGCTCTCCTTGTGGAGCTCCTGTCCCCTCCAGGTCTTTCCATCTCCCTTTCTTTCATAAGATTCCCTGTGCCCTGCCCAAAGTTTTGCTAAAAGTCTCAGCATCTGCTTTAATACCCTGCTGGGTAGAGTCTTTCAGAGGCCCTCTGTGAGTAGGCTTCTGTCTTGTTCCTTGTTTTTACCCTCTTCTGATGTCTATCTCATTTGCCTTTCTAAATGAGGATCAAGTATCTTACCCAAGGTCCTCCTCTTGCTTAGCTTTTTAGGTGTACAGATTTTTTAGTATGTTTATCCTATATTATATGTCTAATGTCCACTTATAAGTGAGTATATGCCATGTGTGTCTTTCTGCTTCTGAGATATGTCACTCAGGATGTTCTTTTCTCGTTCCCACCATTTGCCTTCAGATTTCATGATTTCCTTGTTTTTAATTGCTGAGTAGTATTCCATTGTGTAAATGTACCACAATTTTTGTATCCGTCCCTCAATTGAGGGACATATGGGTTGTTGTTTCCAGCTTCTGGCTATTACAAATAAAGCTGCTATGAACATGGTTGAGTAAATGTCCTTGTTGTATACTTGAGCATATTTTGGATATATGCCTAGGAGTGGAATATGTGCTTCTTGAGGAAGCACTATTCCTAATTGTCTGAGAAAGCACCAGACTGGTTTCCAAAGTGGTTGTACAAGTTTACATTCTCACTAGCAATGGAGGAGGGTTCTCCTTTCTCCACATCCTCTCCAGAATGTGTTGTTATTTGAGTTTTTAATCTTAGCCATTCTGATGGGTGTAAGCTGAAATCTTAGGGTCGTTTTGATTTGCATTTCCCTGATGACTAAGGAGGTTGAGCATTTCTTTAAATGTTTCTCTGCCATTTGAAATTCCTCTATTGAGAATTCTCTGTTTAGCTCTGTACCCCATTTTTTAATTGGGTTACTTGATTTGTTGCTGTTTAACTTCTTGAGTTCTTTATATATTCTGGATATTAGCCCTCTGTCCAATATAGGGTTGGTGAAGATTCTTTCCAAACTTGTAGGCTGAAAAATGAGCACAGGATAATTGGGCTAGGCTGGGTAAGGCTGAATATGGCCCAGCATACCCATGATACACTCTAGTGTCTACTCAGCCACTCACAATGGTGTTCACAGCAAATTAACCAGTAGCAAACCAATATCTGAAGCCATTGAAATGCCCACACATGGAAGGAAGTAAGAAATGGACCATGATGTAAGAACAGGATAAGAAAAGAGGATATGATGTTTCTGCCACATATGACCCAGTGAAGGTGTGGGACGTGGGAGAGCATGTTCGGCAGGATTCCATTCAGTTGATGTCCACTAGGCTTAACTGTGAGGCATTTTCATACTGGGGCTGGACCCTGCGTGTGGCACTGGACACAAGTCAAGGTGGTAGCATCGAACACATGTCTGTGAGAATCCTCACGTTGCACATTCCAGACCCACAGTTGGTGTGCTGAGAGATGTCTGCTGCTGAATTCTTGTCTGAATGCGGGGCTTCATTCTGAAGGTATTGCTCCTATAGCTTGTCCGAAGCACATTGCCTTTGTATCCTTTCCAAAGCAGCACAGGCATTACTGGTCATGACTTCCCAGCAGATGGGATTTAAAGGTATGGCGCTCTCCACCCTTCCAGGAAGCCCGTCGGCTCTGATTTTCCATGTGAGTGAATGAGTAGTTGCAGTGCTGTGACCTCCTGTTGCCTCCCTCCACCTGTGGGCTGTGTCGTCCTCAGGGCGGAAAGCAGGCAGGAAGGCTGCAAGGTCATCAGCCACAGATATTTCTAATATTAATTGATGCCATAGAATTTTCAGCACTGCATGAGTGTAGCCATTATCATTGCTTGGTAATTCGCAAATACTGTTTTGGGCAGTGTAATGGGGGCAGTAGCATTTGCTGCTAGCTTAATCGCACTCTGCTGAGGATTGGGAGACTCAAGGGCTCTCTGCTGCTTGTTTTTCAATGCCAAATTCACTGCCTCTTCTGTTAGGTTCTTGTCTCAGTGGCTTTCCCCAGTCCCTTCTTTCCTTTGGGTAGACGGTGTGCTGTCACAGAGCTGTAATTGAGTATCTAGTCTACCATACAACCGTGCAACACACCTGACCACCTAGTACCTTCATTTCTTCCTCTAAAAATGGAGACATGCAGGCATGGAACACACCTGTCTCAGAGCTCAGAAGGCTGAGGCAGGAGGATCACGAGTTCTTGCTTCTAGCAAGAGCCTGTCTCAAAAAGACAAGCAAACAAAAAAGAAGGCCATGTTCCTTGTCTTGAAAGACTTCATGATTATCACAAACATAAGAGGATAACGTCGGCATGAAAGAATTCTGGAGATGATGAAACCCACTACAGGCTCTGTGGGTTCAGCTCTCTGTGGAGCTGGAATCTGAGGTGTTGTGCAAATGTCCCTGCCCTGCAAATTATACCTCTGTCATTTGATAATTCTCACACAGGCCACTGTGACAGGATCTATAAATGTCCCCTGTGTCTAGATGAGGTCTAGGCCCTAAGGCTGCGGAGGACACAGGCCCAGGAGTGTGCACAGACTGGAAGGCCATATGGCACTCCCAAGGTGACTTACAGCATAAAGCTGCAGGACTAAAAGCTTTCTGTAAGTGAAGCAGACCACTGCGCCAACCACGTTAACCAACACCCTGCGTGCTTCTCCATCTTCCCACATGGGGATGCTCTCTGTATGTCTATTCTCACCATCCTGCTGACAGGAGGGTTTTGGTCTCCAGGTCTTCTCAGTTTCCTTACACAGTCGACCTTGTCCCACCTCTGCTGCAGTTCCCACCTTTGCTCTGTACTGAGGATTGAACCCAGAGACTCATGCATGCCAGGTAAGAGCTTTACCACTGAGCCACAGCACAAGTTTCTGTTGGAAAACTTTTTTTTTCCTCACTAAGTTGCCCAGGTTAGTTTTGAACTCACACCGTACCCCAGCCAGGCCTTAGGACCTTCCTTCCTCAGCCTCTTAAGAAGCTGAGAAGGTATGTGTGTGCTCCCAAACCCAACTTCTATCCTTTTGCAGTCAGTGTCTCCACACCTCCCGGTGGCAAACCCCCAGTGCCACAGCCACACAAGGTCTGACATCTGTAGCTCTGCCACTTTTGACCTTTAGTCCTCACCTGTGAAACAGAAAGTGTAGGGATAAGCCCTAGGCCAGGGTGATGGAGTTGTGGGCCAGGATGTACACCCACAGCCCTCTGACCCCAGGCTGCCTCCACTGGACTAGAACAAGTTTTCAGGCCTAACGGCATCACAAGCAAGACTACAGAGGGTAGTTATAGCCAGCAGCAAAGCGACTGGGTTTTCTGAGGCCCTGTTTTTTCTCCGCTAAAGTGGTCTGTTTCAGAAGACTGATACTCTGGATGTTTACATTGAGGCTAAGTTGCTGGCTCCCCACCTGCAGATTCCATTTTATGTGGTGTTTTCTGAGTGATGGTCCCAGAACTCCACAAAGATGTATCAGAACACCTTCTGTGCCATCCTAAAGACTGGAAGCCTTGCAGGAAGGGTCATGGTGCCGCCGAATACCACAGGAGAGCGTGAATTGCCAGGCCTGCGCTCCACAGGCTCCCATGTTGTATTGTCAGGCAGAGAGGCTGCCATGATGGTCTTGACTCCTAGCCCAGAGTCCATGGGCACAAAGGACACAGGTCCCCTGGGGTCGCATGAATAAGGCTCCTCCTTTTCAGTGCAGCTTCTTCCATGACATTTGATGGAACACTTAGATGCAGAGCCTGGGTTAGCTTTCCAGCACACAGAAAGCATTCACACGATGCACAGCTCTCCAGATTGGTTGCAGGGTCCTGACAAACAGCTGCACAGTTTGTCAGAGCACGTTTCACAGGGCACAGGGGATAAGCGTGTCTCATGGAGGGGCCCTCTGGAGGGCCAGGTTCCAAGACCTCCTCAGCAGACACCCAAATGCTCTAACATTCAAATCCTGCATGTTCAACAGCCCACATCTTGGCAGAACCTTCGTAATTCAAGTCATGAAAACGCTGGTAGGTGGTTATGGTAACCACACCACGCCCGCATTTGGTCATTTGTTTGTTTGTTTTGACAGAGGGTCTCCATATGCAGCTCTGGCTGTCCTAGACCTTGCTGTTGTTGACCAGGCTGGCCTTTAGCTCAGAGATCCCACCTCCGCCTCCTGGGTGCTGGGATTGAAGGCATGTGCCAGCATTTCTGGCTTCAGCAGTTGCACTTTTACCACAGGATTTTGGTGGTATTTCCTGAAAATTGTTTTCGATTTTCCTTTTCTTTAATAAAATCACCTCATTCTAGCCATACAGAAGCTCTCTGAGATGTATAGAGTCTGGGACAGTGCAAGCATCTGTATTTCATCCTCGAACCAGCTGTGTAATATTTGTATTTGTGAGCCAATTTTCTGTATGTCTGGGATGACTCATAATAAAATTTCTTGAAACAGTGGAATCAAAATGGTATGTTTCTTAAACAGTAAGCATTTACGCAAAACTACTAGGGTGCAGACGTGTGAGAATGGGAAGATTCTGCTATACTATTGTAAGCCTTCTCTGAAATCAGGCGTAATGTAGCCATGGTGTCTTATGAGACATGACTAAGGGCGGCACCACGGCAGTGAACTGACACAGCAACTTACATGGTCACCCCCAAGGCAAACAGCTTCTCATACTCAGTCCTGGAGGAGTAGTTGGGAATAACCTGGAAAGGAGCAGAGCGTGAGTGGGGCAGTGTTGCCTGGATCTCCTCCTCACCCACAACACCTCCTTTCCCAGGCTCCGCCCTGGGCAGGCTGCATGCCCCCTGCCCAGACTCACCATTCCGTTGGTGATGATCAGCCGTGGGGTACAAGGGCTGCTGGGGAAGAGGCCCAGTGGGTGTCCACTGTACATGACCAGAGTTTGTTCCTCAGTCATCTTCGACAAGTAGGACATGGTCAGCCAGAACTGATGGACAGTGCACATGCAGGACTCTGTAAATGTGAGCTGGCACCCGCGTGGGCCCTGCACCCCACACCCAGACCTAGCAATTCCTGCAGGTCTCAGTGGGTCTGTCCAGTGACCTTGTTCATATAGATCCTCTTTAATCTCCAGGATCTCCTGGCACCTCCCGTAATGCCACTCTATCCCTTCTTATAAGTGAAGCAGCTCCAGGTAATTGATTGCCAGTGCTGAAGTATCAGGCATCTGGCTGAGCCATGGACCGCCGATGCCTTCCAGGTCACCATACCTGAGCCCAGTTGTTGAACACCTGCCCGTTGCCTCCATAGGTCACCAGCTCCTGTGGAAACTGGAGAAGATGTGGTATTTTAGTCTGAGATGGGCTGTGGACGAGGAGAAGCAGGGCCCCTATTTGCAGCTGTATTCAGAGGAGCAATGACATGGGGGCAAGGAGAGAAGCATGAAGGGACACATAGCAGCCACTAGTCATGTGGGCTATTGAGCATGGCTGTCCATGTGAAATCCATCCTCCATGTCAAGATCCCATGTAAAAGGAGGAACATAAGGGATCTCATTAATGATGTTAAGGTACGTGTATGATAAAATATTATTAAATCTTTTTATTTTCAGGTTATAGGTGAGTTTATATAACTGTATTGTTACATATTCTTGATATTTTATATTATATTTGTTTCCTGCTTTGATTTTGCCCTATAGTTACAGAGAACTATATGTTTTAATGCCAGCTTTGTAAGAGTGTTAAAGGCTTGCTCGCATCACTCAGGATCTCAGGTCACATTTCTCTGGACTATTCCGGCCTCCGTTTCCCTGCCATTACCTGGGCTACAGCAGGATCCAGGTTGTTCATGATCATGTGCATGATGGCCGCAGCTGCCCGTGTCCGGCATGGGTACTGCTCGATTGGGTAGGCCCTGCAAGAGAAAGTCCAGCGGTAGGTATAACAAGGGAACCCTCAGGCCTTCCGGCCCACGAAGATGCTGTGTCTACCCTGGCCGAGCTGACAAGGTGCCTGAGAGAAGTCTTTAGAACCACAGGGGGAGGCGGAGCACCAGAGCCACCTGCTGCTAAGCCGCCGGAGCTCCCACATGCTCAGAACAGGAAGTCTAGCCCAATCCAGTCACTGTCTCTCTACTTTAAACCTGGGAGGAAGCTGACTATAAGAGCTGATGGCTGCTTTCCAGAGTCCTCTACCTTGGGGCAGTTTAGCATTTGTTCTTTCATTCAACTCATCAAATACGCCTGGGCAGCAATTCCATGGCAGGTGGCAGCAGGTACAAAGGGGCCCAAGGACGTTGACTCCTGTCTGTTGGGAACACAAAAGTCCCTGGGGCCATTTAGAACAGTCTGGGGTTCCAGCATGTTCAGAACAGTGATTCTCTATCATAGGAGCTGGAGCATCCAAAATGTAGACTCCCAGCTTTGCCCGGGGACAGCTGAGCCTTAAGTCCAGTGAGGTCCAGCATTCTGCACAGTCACATAGCTGTGTGATACAGTGTGAGAACTTCAGTGGAGAAGATGGAGAGTTTGTAGTCACTGACAGCCACTCCCCACCGTATCTCACTCTCACCAGCTCTTCCCTGAAGAGCAAAAGACGCAGCGTCCCAGAGACCGTGCAACATTAGACTCCAAAGTCACACATGACTGACTGCAGGACAGGGGTGCATGGCAGAGACCTATCTGGTAAGTACCCCATCTTCTGGCCAAGCAGGTCAGCTTCGGACCCCCCAAGAGACCCTTCTCCACCTACATTCTCTGCACAAGGGTGTGAACTCACTGTGCCACTTCCTTAAGTCTCCCAACTCAGACAGACTGGCCTGCCCTTTAGACATGGATTCCCCGAGGCTCTGGACTTTTGCAGAGATTTTTCTGAAGCCAAATTCATGAGGGCTCACCTCATCTCGATGGTGGGGCAGAAGCGGTACATGTAGATGTGTCCAAACTGTCGTAGCTCCTGGGCAAACTCCAGGGCCAACAGCTTCTGGACATCAGGTGGGAAGTAGCGCAAGGCATTCCTCAGTGCCAGCTGGGGAGGAGAGAGGCAAGAGGTGGCTGGGTTAAGGGCCCTGGGGCAATCTGTGTACTCCATCTTTCTGCCCCACCTGGATTGCCTCTGCTCCACTCAGAGGCACTCTGAGAACACCTGCTTTGTCTTCTGGAGAGCCTTTCCTGATGGCCGCTGGCCCCGTTCATGAAGGAAGACCCCAAGCTTTCTCTTCTTGGCCCTGTTTGCACCAGGGGCTGCAGACTCAGAGGAGGAAAGCAGAAGCTACTAGCAAGCCCAGAGAAGCATGTAGCTTGGCAAACGGTCCAGAGGCTGTGTTCTGGGATGGGCAGACTTGGGAAGTGGGCATAGCGTACTGATATGGTAGCCACTATGATGACCCCACTGTGCCCACGTTCTCATCCACCAACCTGCATGTTGCCTTACAAGGCGAAAGGTGCTTTTCACAAATAACTCAGTTAAGATCTTGAGACTGTTCTGGGATCTCCAAGTCAAAAGTCCTATAATCGTGAAGGTCCTTGTAAGAGGCAGAGATGGCTAATATCAGAGGAGATGTGAGGACCAAGCTGTGTGTCAGTGCGCTGGGATGTAGATTTGAGGGTGCAGGGTTGTTAGAGATATAGCTGTGTGTACAAAGGATTTTCTTGGCAGCACCCGTGTGCCCAGCTTCCTCCTCTCCCGTCCTTGGGAGTGATAGTAGAGCCTACTCCCAGGCACTAATGAGCTGACAGGGTTAGTGTGGTGTTGGGCTCACTTATGGATCCTGTGAGCGCCCGATCACAGAACTGTCACCTCCCACACTCATGGACCTGTGTCATGCCCTGTGCTGCCTGGGGTCCCTACAAAAAATGCTTCTACAATCCTGGCAAGGAAGGAGTCTCATGAAGCACCCAAGCCATGCCTCTACTCAAAAACCTTCACAGATTCCCACTGCCTATCTTGCCACACCCACAGTGTGGATCTCCTCCAGTCATGCCACATCTGGTGCTCCAAGCTCTGCTCCTGGCTCTACCTGCATGGGGTCTCCTCAACCTTCCACATTTTGGAAGGCCCACCTCTGCCTTTCCACGTACAATTTCTCGTGTCAGTACATGGCCCTTCTTTCTGTTCTAGACTACTTGTCCAAACTGCCACGACCGCCTCTGCCTAAAAGCCCTCCTATGTGTCTTGTAAGACAGGGGTTAGCTTCTTAACAAATGTTCTTGTCAGCGAGCACTCAGCGAGCACTCAGTGAGCACATGCTGGTGTGGTTGGATCCTAGGGACCACCCCAAGGGAGGCCCCAGTCTCAAGCTCAAGATCCGTGTGTTGGCAGGGACAGGCTTACAGATTTGCCACAAGAAAGGGCTCTTAGGACAGTGTGTTGATGGAGACAGGCATTCAGGTCCACCGCAGTGAAGGGCACCGCAGTGGAGGAAGGGCTCAGCTGGGGCACTTAACGCCCAGCACAGCGCACTGGATGAGGCAGGACTTAGGGTAAAGGTCACCGAGGGAAATCGCACTCAGGGGAGAGCAGAGCTGCTCGTGTTGTGAGGCACACTGTGAAGACTGAACATGCCTGTGCTGAGCGCACACTGACTAAAGCGTAACAGGTGGCACTCCTCACTTAAGTAGAAAGCTGCCAAAGGAAGGCAAGGGTTGAAGCCCCCCGTCCATCCAAACAATAAAAGAATGAATAGCATGTAGCAATGGAAACAAGGGGAGAAACTCAAAGTATGCATGCCTGAACATACATGCCCCCACACAGGAGCACACACAATGATACATGCACACGTGTGTGTGCTCATACAAACACACATATGCATGCATGCACAAAGACATACACACTTGTAACACACACGCCCCACATGGAAAGCAAGCCAATGCAAGAGAAGCTCTTAGTTTTGGGACTCCATTCTCAGAGGGAAGCCTTAGCCCTTCCCAACTCTAACTCCCCAGATCTGCAAGTCACCTCTCCTTTGAGGGTGCTACATCCTTCAAACACGTGTTGACAGGCAGGAATGAAACTGAATAGGCCCTGTCTACCCTCAGTCCCTGGCTGCCTTTCTCCCACCACAGAACACTGTGAAGGCTGGTCACACGATCTCCCAGTTGCAGGGGTGTCAGCAGAAGCCTGCAAGGCTGCAGGGCCTTCCCAGCTCTGGTGGCCTAGTGTCAAGGCACTTGTGCCTAGCAGGGAGGCGACGATGGAGGAAGGGCGTTAACAGAAGTGACATGGGCTCAGCAGAATCAGACAGGTCAAGTGAAAAGACAAGGGGCACCCCCACCATCTGGCCCTCCCCCTCTCTGGCACCAGCCCTATCTCTCCGGGCACTACCCCATTTTCTAAGGTCCTCAGTTCCTTTCTCTGTTGCTCTCATTTCCAGCTCCTGTCCATCAGTGTCCTACCCCCAGTAGCTCCCAAGCATGTTCCCTGCCTGTGGGCAGCTTGGGAAACCAAAGGGGTGATCTCCCCCTGTGCAGCAGTCTCTGGATGAGGGCAGGGAAGCGACTCCTCACTCAGTCTCACTCAGCCTTCATACTTCTGTGTCTTTCAGAAAAGCAGCTTCCCATGGCTCAGGGACTGCTTCAGTCTGGAAGCTTGGCAAGTTTTGGGGCTTAAATCCTTTGGGCAAAGGGAGCCAAGAGGCAAGGGGCTACCTGTCATCCCTCCCAGCACTGCTATGTCTTTAATGGAGGCTTCACAGCCGAAGTCACCAGAAGGCTTGGGGGAGGAGCAAAGAAAAACTGTTGCAGAGGACAGAAGAGTCACTCAGTGTTTGGGGCCGGGCAAGGTCCATGTGCAGCTGCAGAGCCAGGGCCACTTCACACCCTGCCTCTTCCTGTTCCTCACCAGAGGTGGCTATAGCACTGTTTGGGTGACCTTGAGCCCAGTGTCCTCCTCTGGAAGAGGGAACCTCAATTCTGGGCCTAAGGTAACTCCTGGGTGGCTTCACCTGAAGACTATCAGTGACAGACACTGGCACATCTCCTCTCCCTTCTCCAGAAATTGGTAGGGTCAGGGAAGCTGATACACGGAGAGTAGGAGGGGTATAAAGCCACCCTGACCACCTAAAAGGCACCAAAGGGCCCCAGAGCCCAGGAGAACTGGGTAGCAGTTGTTACCTGCTCTTCTGCAGGGCTAAGATCAGGAGTCCTGACTGGCGCATGTGGCACTCCAGCCCAGCGCCCCCGGTTCTCAGGGAGTGGTCGTAGGGGCAGGCCGGAGCACAGTTCCCGGAGGCTGGACATGTCTGCAGAAACTGAGGTGGAGGCAAGTACGAAGCGACTGGGTAGTTGGGACGAACAGGGTGGGGACAGCCCCAGAGACACCTCCTCCAGCCCCTCATTGGTCCCGAGAGAGCATAGGGGGCAGGTCATTTGGGTCACTGGCTGGTAGGCAGGCTGCCTGGGTATTACTTGCAGGGCAGCCACAAGTTACATGGTTATGAGTTTGGGGTGAGCTGGTGGGCTCTGTGGTTGAGGTTTTCTCAGTCTTAGGGGGTATCCAAAAGGTGGCAGTTTGACATATGTGTCTTGATGATGGGGAGTCATGTGACATTGGCTCAAGCTCTACAGTACTCCATTTCCCTGACACTTGAATAGGAAGGGGCCAGATGATAGGTGTGGTAACAGCTCTCCACACCCCCGGCATCTGCCAACCATTAACAGTTCCCCCACCAAAACCCTTCCTCAACATCCTGGCCTGGGACTAGAGGCCAATGCTGGGTGTCACTCCCCTCCCCCTAGCCGGGAAGGGCCCACCATTGAGTCCCAGTGGTCCTGGTAAGTGACCATGTGGCCTTTGCCCTGTCCCTGTGTACACAGGTGGGTGGTGACCAACTCCTCCCTCTGCAAAAAAGGGTCATGTCACTTGGCCTTAGGCAGAGTGGGGAGATGACCCGGTGCTTAGTTTGGGCAGCACATGATGTGGCTGATGCTCTCAGTGGTCCTCAGAACCCAACTCTCATGCCACCAATAAGGACACTGAGGTTGGAGAGGAAGGGAGACTTCCTCAAGTTCTGTAGCTAGTCGTGAGTGATGTTCAGACTGGAGCTCCATATATGGATGGAGACGCCACTGAAATGGCTCCTGCACTGAAGGATCTGGTGTATGGGAGTGCAGTGAAGGTGTTGAGGAGACGAGGTATAGCATAATGGGAAAACAGATCAGTCTCTGTCTGAAGCCCTGTGGCTGGGGACACCAGGGGACTCTTGCCCCTACTGCTCAGCCTCTGACTTCTAGTTCGTAAATCTAGTGGCATTCCAGGCTGATGAGAGTATTTTTGTAATTTAGGAGAGTAGGCCTTGTGGCTCCTAGGCAGCCCCAGAAGTCCCTTGTTTTCCAGGGAAACTTTCTATTCCTAAGTCCCAGGGAGGGGAAGGAAGGAAAGGGGAGGACTTGGTGTTGATCACCTCTAGTCAATTCCACCAGCCATGATTGCATAAAAAGTTCCACAAAGTCCCTACAGAAAGACTCAGGGCTCCCATCAAGACACCAGAGACCTCTGGAGCACCAAGAGGTCTGGGGGTGGGAGTCCGGCGGAGGGGGTGGATTCTGCCTCTCTCACAACTTGCCCTGAAAGCCTCCTGACAGGCTGATACCTGAATCCTCCATTGTACAGGGAGAACAGCATAACACGCCACCCCGAGTTCGGTCAGTTCTGACTAGTTTTCTTTCTTTTCTTTTTTTTTTTTTTTTAAATTATTATTCTTGGCATGTACTAGTCAGTCCACCTACTCTTGAGCTTCAATCACAGGACATTTTAAAACAAATTAAGCCAACCCGAGGAGTGGAGCGGGCCATAGAAACTCCAGTTTATAAGCAGCCAGTGGAAGTACGGGCCACTGCCTTGCTTGTGACTAGCGTCCACAGGGGCAGCTTTGGGACCCGAGCCCCCAGTTGTGGGGGTGGGGCATGTGCTCCAGGTAGACAGGATCAGAATGCCTGTTGGTGTTTGCCTGGGAACTGGATGGGGGAAGCCTCACATTCATTCTCATGAGCATGGTACTATGCAGAGCCTGAGACTGAGAAAAATCTTTTCCATGCCGGGCTCCTTAGTCCCTCCTGCTGAATCCCCAGTACCCCCCTCAGGGAGGTCTCCTAGCTTTCACCTAGATTTCTGGTCTTACAAGCTGAGGGGACCGAGCACAGCCTTGTACAGGTAAGGTTGCAGGCTAGGACCAGTCTGAGGCAGGACTCCCTGGGCGCCAGCCCCAGCCCCTGTCTTCCCTTCTGCGAGCCTCAGTACCATGAGACCCAACTCCAGAGGCCTCACATGCTTCTCTCTGTTCACTGGTGCTGTGCCTAGAAGGCACTGGGCTCCCCGCACCTGGCAGAGTAGGATAACGCCCAACTCCCTTGGCCCTCGGGGTGGGGTAGGAGACCAGAAAATAGCTTCATGAGCAGCAATCCACTGTCTCTTGGTCCTAGCAGGCCTTCCCCTAGGGTATTGCACTGTGCCTGGCTGGCTGGACTGTCTTCCCCGTTCTGATTCCCCTCCCCGTAAGAGAGCCCTTCAATGATCCGTCGGCACGGAGCCCTGCTCTCGGTAGAAAGCTGGAAACCCCAACTGATCTTTCAGTGTTTCAAATTTTCAATGGAAGCATTTTAAGTATTCTCCCCAAGAAGGGGGGGGTAGCCTCAGGGTGGATTGTTCGAGTCGTCACCACTGAGGAGGCTAATGGACACACGGGGCACCTGTGCCACCTCCTGACGGCATGTGAATCTTGTCCTAGAATAAGCGAAGAAAACAAACAACGTAAACATCTTAAAGGAACGAGGGGTTCACGTGGGCTGAGCGCTGCAGCGCGTTAGGCTTGAGCCTCAACTACCCTGCTCACTAGCTGTGTGTCACCGGGCAAGTTTCTTGGTCTTTCTGGGTCTCTGTAGGTGAAAAGATGGTTGGCCCTCAGGTTCCACATCTGAAGATTTTTTTTAGTCACATTAACCACCCGAAGAAGATCCAATATTTTATTTTTAAGTTATCTATTTTCAACTCCCAAAATGTTTCAACCATGTATAGCAATTTTATTTAATTGAGGTTAATTCTTAATACAGACTCTAAAGGATTCATGAAAAGTTCTCAGATCAATCGTTTTTGTGAACTTTAAACGTGAAATTTGATAAAGATTGATTTGCTGAATCTGTTTGGAAAGTGGATCAGCAGGTGAAGATCCTTGCCTTCAAGTCCCGAACATGAGTTTGATCCCTGGGACCCACATGATGGATGGAGAGATGGACTCCTGTAAGTTGTCCTCTGATCCTCAGTTATACATGTACCCACGAATATATGCTCAGGAGAAACAAGTGCAATATAAACTATTAATTCACTTAACATCTTTTTGCTCTATATTTTATTTTTTAAAAAAATATTTTTATTAATTACAGTTTATTCACTTTGTACCATCCATAAGGCCCTCCCTCCTTCTCTCCCAGTCCCATCCTCCCTCCCCCTTCTTCACACATGCCCCTCCCCAAGTCCACTGATAAGGGAGGTCCTCCTCTCCTTCCTTCTGATCTTAGTATATCACATCACATCAGGAGTGGCTGCATTGTCATCTTCTGTGGCCTGGTAAGGCTGCTCTCCCCTCAGGGGGAGGTGATCAAAGAACAGGCCAGATTATGTCAGATTATGTCAGAGGCAGTCCCTCTTCCCATTACTATGTAACCCACTTGGACACTAAGCTGCCATGGACTACAACTGTGCAGGGGTTCTAGGTTATCTCCATACCTGGTACTTGGTCGGAGTATGAGTCTCTGGGAAGACCCCTGTGTTCAAATTTTCTGGTTCTGTTGCTCTCCTTGTGGGGTTCCTGTCCTCTCCAGATCTTACTATTTCCCACTTCGTACATAAGATTCCCTGCACAATTGCCCAGCAGTTGGCCATAAGTTTCAGCCTCTGCTTTGATAGTCTGCAGGGTAGAGCCTTTCAGAGGCCCTCTGTGGCAGGTTCCTAGGTTGTTTCCTGTTTTCTTCTTCTGATGTCTTCTTCTCTCCAATAAAAAGACACAGACTAACAGAATGGATGTGTAAACAAAACCCAGCAATCTGTTGCATACAAGAAACACACCTAAGTCACAAAGATTACCTGAGGGTTAAGGATTGGAAGACGGCTTTCCAAGCAAATGGACCCAAGAAGCAAGCAGGAATAGCCATTCTAATATCTGATAAAATAGACTTTCAACCAAAATTAATGAAAAGAGATGGGGAAGGACACTTCATACTCATCAAGGGAAAATTCCACCAGGAAGACATCACAATCCTGAACATCTATGCCCCAAATACAAGGGCATCCACATTTGTAAAAGAAACACTGATAAAACTTAAACCACAAAGAGATCCCCACACATTAATATTGGGAAACTTCAACACCTCACTCTCAACAAAGGACAGGTCAACAAAACAGAAATTAAACAAAGAAACAATGTCGCTGACAGAGGTCATGAATCAAATGGACCTGACAGACACAGAACTTACACCCAAACACAAAAGAATTTATCTTCTAGCACCTCATGGAATCTTCTCCAAAATAGACCACATGGTTGGTCACAAAGCGAGCCTCAACAGATACAAGAAGATTGAAATAATCCCTTGTATCCTGTCTGATCACGAAGATATTTTTAAAAATTGCACCTGTTTGAAGCTGTACCTATGTTTGTCCTGACTATGGGTCCTCCAGAGACACAGTGTGAAGTCTCTGCACAACAATGGCATTGTATTAAGTATTATTTGGTGCGTAGGGATGGCTGGAGGTAAGGGGGTACTTTACAGGTTCCACACCATATGTAAGGGTGGTGAGCACCTTGGGACTGTGGTATCTTCAGTTCCAGTGCCATGAACTCCAAAGGATGACCCTAACAGCACTAACGGCTCACAGACGTGGCTTGGATGGAATGAGAGCCAGACCTGAAGGGCCCCGAATGATGCCCCACATGCAATCAGCACCACACAAGAAGTTGTCATCTTTCTCATTGATACCTACACTAAAGAACTTCATCTCCAGACAGGCTTTGGCCTCTTACTAGCCCCGTCTCTCCCTGACTAACCCAGAAGCCGAGAGGCGCAGCCAGCACCCAGATTCTCAGCTGTCAGATTCCCAGTGTGTTTAGAAACTCTCCCTGGAGGCTCTGGGAGCTGCCCTGTCTCTCACCTCACCCCTCCACTAGCACCCACCCAGAGTCTCAGTTGTAAGTGTCTGCACTTACCAGACCAAGGTCACCTGATATGGCCATGAGGACTTAAATCAGGCCAGTTGGAGGGTCCACAGCAAGACTTAAGCAGGGACAATTTTATTGAGAGCAATCAGATTTTTTTATACCTTTATCAGAAATGGAATATAGTGGCAATTGCCAGGAACAATACAATTGTAGTTGGCCAGAATGTAATAATTTGCAAGCTATACCGGGCACACAAGATAAAGGTGTAAGACTGATTGTCCTGTCAAGTCTCTATGACTCCTTGACATCTAAGGAAATACAAGCTGGCCTGAATGCGTCATGGCCTGAGGGAGTGCACTGGTTTCTCAGGAACTGGAAACACACTGTGCCTCAGGAGCCATGCACTCTAACCTGAAACACCTATGACACATAAACTCTCAAGGCAGCGAGGCCAGGCCAGCTCCATTCCTGAAATCTTTACTGCTCCTTTAGCACTCAGAGACTGAGTTAAACCAGTTCCTCAAATCCTCAGGCACGTTTCTGTGTGAGGCTGGGATTCATCCCTGTCACTGGGACGTGGACAACCTCAGTGGTTCCAGGGAACTAAAGGAAATCAGGCCAGGTCAGAGACAGGCCACACAGTCATGTTCTGTGGGAATGGTCCCAAATTCCAGGCCCCTGGGCAAAAAGAGCCACACCTATCACATGTGGTCATTGAGTGTGCTGCCTGGCAGGCCTCCAGATGGTAAGATTCAGCCATCTCAGTTGCCGTCTGACTGAAGCAGCAGGGGACCTCTGGGGAAGCATATGACCAGGGTCCTTCATACTTCCTGATCCACAGATAAAGTTCTAGGCAATTTGCTACTTAGCCATAATTGAAGCTCATTTCAGGGTCTTTCAGTAAACAGAAGATAGCTTTTCTAGGGACCTGGGCCTAGAGGCAGGCATCTGCCCATGGATTCCAAGACTTAAATCTTTCTGGTGCCTCCAGGGATGCCCATCTCTAGGGTCAATTGAGAGCTGAGTTGTTCTCAATTTTGGTCACTAGGTGGCAGTTTAGAAGGCCAAAACACACTGAAAATTGGAAGAGGGGACTGGGTTATGGAAATGAATGCTGAAGAAGCCCTGTGAGTTTGGGTGAGATTTGGGGCAGATAGGCATTGTGGGTGATCCAGAATCCTTGGGTTCTGGGATGGGCTGGAAGGAAGCAGGTGTTCCTGAGGATGGGGAAGCCCCGAGAAGGGTGTGGTTTTAGTGTGAGCTGGGTTCCCACCCAACAACGAGGTAGGACCACCACAGCTGTTTAAAGCTAAATGTAGAACTGTTATTTGTTTCATAGTCTTCATTAACAGACAAGAGATAATTGCTATAAGAGGAACCAATTAAGGTTATTGAATACGCATCTGCTTCTCAAATCAAGTATCTCTGCCTCTCACCTAGCGTCCACAGCACAGTGAAGTTTAATGTTACCTCCACTGTACAAGGAAATGGGGGCACAGGTGGCAGGTAAGACACTAGTGTTGGGTGCAGCAACCCATCCCCCCCCCCCACAGGCTAAATGCTGACATGATGAGGTGCAACAGGCCCAGTGCCCAGGAAGGCCCCTTACTTCCCCCTGAGTCTGGACCAGTCCTGCATGAACTGGGGAGGGGGGTCCCAACAGGACCTGAAGACATAAGAAAGTGAGGCCTCAGGGTGGGCTTGGGGGAAGGGAGAAACATTAAAGACTGACCCTGGGATGGGGCAAGGACTATCACGTGCAGGTCCCATATCCTTGGGCTTGTGGTTCCTCCCAGCCCTCTGGCCCCTGCCAGTAAGAAAAATAGGAGTTACTACCTTGGAGGAGCCTGCTCTTCTCATTTCACTGTTTGACAAGCGTCTGTGCCTTGAGAAGATGATGTCATCCCAGAGCAAACTGTAGCAGGTAGAGCCAGGCCAGAGAGATGTGGCCTAGTTATTCATCTATAACTAGGTGTCCCCTAGTTATTCTCTGCCCTGCATGCCCTGCATGGCTGCTGTCCTGCAGTGTGGTATAGTCCACCTCTCTCCTGACCTGTGGTGGGCTCCTGGGGCACTGGGCACAGTCAGGCACTGTCAAGACAGCTACAAAGAAAAAGCACCTCTTTAAGACTTATTTTCCTTTATTTCTATTTCTCTTTGTTTCCTTTGACACAAAGTTTCTCTGTGTAACAGCCCTGGATTTGTAGATTAGGCTGGCTTCAAACTCACAGAGATCTGCCTGCCTCCTGAGTGTGGAGTTTAAAGGCAAGCATCACTATGCCTGGCTATTTTTTCCCCCTTTACATAAGCTAGGATGCTGGGTCCTGGAAGATGTGACCCTGACGGTTATTAGATCCTTCCCTGGCAGTGAGGCCTTTCGGTCCTACAACTTTGGCACTGTCTTCCAGGAAACTGGCTGCTTCGAACTCTCCTTGAGCACCTTGGGAAGCTGATTTCTGACTTCAGTTGCTGGATCCCAAAACACAGCCTGTCTCCTGACACCGTGGTCTCAGCCACTGCTGTTTCAAACAGCTTGTGAAGGATGCTGGGCTTTCTGCCCACCATCAGCACTGGGGAGAGCAACATGACTCTTGGGCATTTTTACCCATAACAGAGTGGGTAGTGACTTTTCTTTACTACCCTGTGCTATGACTGGTTCAAAGTGGATCCTTAATTTGCAGGAAGAGCTGTGCCATAATTGGTGCAGACAACACTTGCCACACTTCCATTCAGAGTCAGCTCATGATCACTTGTGTGTGCCATGCGGAGGATTTCTCCAAAGGGATCTTCCCCAGAGAGGGAACTTGGAAGCTGCGGTTGAAAACAGAGGTTTCATAGGCAAGGCCAGTGGAAGTAAATTGCCAAGGGTTAAGATTGGAGAAAGCAGGGTGAGAAGAGGCAGAGAAAAGTAAGCATTGACAGAGGGTCCCAGCACGCCCAGCTTGAAAGCTATGACAGTTGCCAATACTGAGAGCCAAGAGTCCCAAAGCCCGGGGCTGAGAGCTGTAGTGCCCAGGCTTACAATAGCTGCCCAGTACTAGGGGTTAAAGGCCAGGGCAATGAGAGTCCAGCCTGAGCACCTGGAGCCCGAATTTCTGACCAACAGAGCTTTGGCTCCCAGGATGTGAGCTGCAGTCTCCGGCTCTGCAACTATGGCCCTTGGGCCCGGAGCACCTGTACCTGAGAGTTTCTCTGCTTCTAATTCCCATCTGCGCAGAGTAAAGAATCCAGGCTTAGTGACCAGTAACAGGGATAGACGCTGCATTTCACTGCCCCGAAGTTCTAGCCTCACCCACTAAGCCAGCCTGCGTTGGAGCGCAGGACGCTGCTCGGGGCGGGCCCTAGGCTAAAGGCAGGACTGGGCGTGCCCTGGGCCTAGGCTGCGCAGTGGGAGAAAGCACCGGATGACCGTCGCCTGCCACGCGCCTGGCACAGAATGGGGAGGCGCTCCTGCTACCGGCGGCGGTGGCGGTGGCGCTTGCCGGTGGCAGCAAGTCTGGGTGCTGCGCTCCTCCTCCTGTGCATTGCGCTGCGCGCCCTGCGCCCTGGTGAGTGCATAGCCCTGGGACTAGATTCTGGGGCCACCAGGCACCTGCTGTTGTTTGGGGCTGGCATGTCATGGGTCAGGACGGAAGACAGGCTCCCTCCACTCCCCGCAAGGGTCTTCTTTCCTGCCACTGGAGAGATGACCATTGTCTGGGTCAAATTGTGCTGGTGGTGGTGGGGCTTTCTACCAGTCTGGGGGATGCTGTCTGACGGCTTGGGGGTACAGGACCCAGGACCTGCTAGTATCGGTTTCCACCAGGCATGTGGTCAGTCTCACTCTGAGTGAGTCCATATCCTCCGGAGGACAACTCACTTTACAGACAAAGCTGAGGGCAGAGGTCAGGTGTGGAGGTGCCGCAGGTACCTGGGCAGTGGGTTACATTTGTGACGGTTTGCTCATCTTTTCATCTGTGTGTATGGGGTCTGCTCACTTCCAGACAGGGTCATACCCTAGGGTGGTTGGGGGCATTAGTTGGAAGTGACTCGGGATAAGCAAGGGAATGTTTTAGGATGATACTTATCCATGGAGGGACCCAGTGGGCAGGCTGGTAGATTGGAGGACACTCAGCAAGCTTAACCTGCAGTCAGTCCCCTCCTGGGGTGTCGGCAGTCTCATCATGGAATGGGTGCTGACTCCTTACAGGGCTTTTGGGAGGGTGAACTTGAATGCGACAGCAGGCAGTGCGTGGCCCCCAGCCCTTTCTTCACACTGCCGTAGGGGCTCCTGGGTTGGAGGCCAGGCTTTGGCTAAGGTCCAGGTGCAGAGAAGTGGGGAGGAGGCCCACTCACTCTGCCAACTAACACCTCTCCAGACATAAGCGGCTGTGCCAGCACACCCTCAGAAGCTCCCTGGAGGGAGCCTTCCTCCCCTAAGGACCTGTAGGTGATGGCTAGCCTCCTGGTGTCTAAAGTGCTCCTCAGCACAGTCTGGGTGTGGTCCCAGTGTCTCCTGATGCCACAGTCTCTGTCTACCCTGTCATTCACTGTAGACAAATGTTTACCCAGTCCTGGGCCCTGGTGGCTCAGGTCCCTCAGGGCTCAAACACCGCTGTGGGGTGGGTATGAGAGGATAGATGAGAGCTGAGACCCCAGGGAATGTCTGCGGAGGAGCATGGCGTCTGGGTGGTTGTCAGGGTGTCTTCGTGCCATCTCTTTCAGCCAGCCTTAACCCTGGGCCCTCTCCTCACCCATGGGACATGGAGGGGAGGGGCTGTGAATGTGGGGAGGGAAAAATGTAAGCGTGGTTCGAGAATGGTTAGAGCATAGTTAGCCTCATGATTTCCCCTCTGCATGTTTGCTCAGGTAGGGCTGCCATTTACTCCTGTCACCCCCAGGCTGGCCTTATGCTGTCTGGCCTGGAAAGTCTCCACTAGCCTCTAGCTTCATTCCCCTGCTCTGAGATGGGTCTCTGAGCTTCCTCAGCTGCCATCCCTACCTCCCAGACTCTAGACTCAGTAGTTCTCAACCTGTGGGCTGTGACCATCGGAAAACACAGACATTTGTATTATGATTCATAACAGCAATAAAATTACAGTTCTGAAGTAGCCACAAAAGTAATTTTATGGTTGGGGGCCACCACAAGATGTGGATCTATGTTCAAGGGTCGCAGCAACAGGAAGGTTGGGAACCACTAGATGCTCACACTCCACTGTAGTAGGTTTCCAGCTGCCAACTTTTCAGTCTTGGGCCAGCAAGCGCCAACTCCACCTCATCTCCTGGACTAGCTCTCCGCTCATTTTGGGAGGTGGTGAAATGTGTGCTTATGGTAGGCACTCTTACCAGACAGTGGGAAGGTCTGGTCCTCATGCAGGGGCCAGGATCCCATTGTCCCTGGCCTCAGAGGGACATAGCCTTGTTTTTTTTGCAGTCAAATCTGGGTCAGAAGGGGATCATAGGGAGAGGTTTATAGGTCAGTGGGGGTTCAGGGCCCAGGAGAATCCCAATGCCACATCTTAGCTGAGAGACCAAGATGGGCCCTGTCCCTTCCTGCTTCAGGGAATGAGATGTCACTGTCACCATGTGCTGGGAAAATGGCACACTGAGGGGTTACAGGTTATGCCTGGGTTCCAGCTGTTTCAGGGATCTCACTGGCCTCTTCCCAGTGGGGAGCCCATGCTGGTCACCCTGCCCCAGGATCGTCCACCAACAGAGCCCAGGGTTAGCATGGTGAAGTGAGACCGCATGCCACCCTCCCCCCTGGGGTCCCTGGATGTCGCCACTGTCACCCCAGGGCCCTCCTCCGACCTTTGCTTCCTTGGCCTGGACACAGAGCCTGGGCTTCCCTTGCTGCACACACCTCTAACTACATGTCTGCTGAGCCTGCTGCCACGGAGTCCCTGTTTAGGAGCTGGAGGACTTACAAGTGTCCCACCTCACGGAGTTGCATTTTGACACTAAAACCCAGGTCTGCATATCACCTGCTCTTACACACACCCTGACGGGTGCTTGATCTGCTGACTGGGACAGCAGAGGAGTCTCAGAACCCCTTGGCCTAAGTGCCAGAGTGGTTGGCAAAAGGAGGGGGCGTGGCTGCTGGGAGGGAGCTCACCAGGTCCAGCTGGAGTCCAGAGCTCAGGAGACTCAGTCTTTGGAGAAATGGTCTCTGGCAGGTTGGTCAGCTCAAGTAGGAATGGGGAGGCAAATGTGATCAAGGGAAAACAAACAGCATTCTTAAGCCAAGAATTGTGGGGTCAGGATTTGAGTCCTAGAGCTCAGAGTCAGGAGAGGGGGTACACTGGGCGAGGTGGGACAGCTGCCCAGCCCACCACCCTCCCCACAGGGTCTCTGTGGCAGTTCCATTACTGGTTCTAGGTTCTGTTTGTAGTCCTTTGCTCCTTTGCCATCTTTGCTTGGAATGGTGATTCAGGCTTATTTTTTTCCACTTTACGAAGCAAAGGTATTTGGGATAAACTTTGAAAGAAGCATAGAAGTTGGTCAGATGGAAACCTGAGTGAACTGGTTAGTTTTTTTTTTTTTAAATTAGTGTGTGTGTGTGTTTGTCAACTTGACACAGTTAAGGGTGATTAGGGAAGAGAAATCTCAATTGAGAATATGCCTCCATCAGATTGGCCTATAGGGACCAAATCTGTGGGGGCATTTTCTTGATGAATGATTGATGTGGGAGAGCCCAGGTCACTGTGGGCAGTGCCACTCTGGGCAGGTGGTCCTGGTTGTATAAAAAAAGCAGTCTGAGAAAGGCATGGCCAGCAAGCAGGCAAGCAGTGTCCCTCTAGGGTCTCTGCTTTAGTTCCTTACTCTAGGTTCTGTCAGTGATGCAGTGTGACCTGTGATGAAATAAATGAACGCAACTGAACACAGCAACTGAAAGCAAATTAAAACAGTAATAAGAGTGGGGTTTGAACCCCTGTGGATGTATGGCATTGGAGGAGTAGAGGGCCTGTGGGTGGTTTGCAATGCTGGGCTGAGGCAATGCAGATCCGGTGATGGCTGCGCTGGTAGGGATTCCCTCACAGCAAATGGCTTGTGGAAGTCAGTGAACAGTTTAAATATAACTGGAAAGAGGCAGAATGACCTTTCTCCCTGTGAGGAGCTTGTCTAATGTGTCCCACTCTCCCTTCAGGGTAACCACAAGAAAGAATGTCCCTGACACTGGGTTCCAGAGCTCCCTGAAAGCCTTTTGGGGGTGAGTGGGGCTGAGACTCTGACCCAGCCCCTACTGGTGCTTCTGTTGGTTTGTCTTGCAACAGGACTGTGAGAACTTATTAACCAGGATGTGGCTGTTGCAATGTGCCCTGGGCTTGACTCATCCACCCCCCACTCCTACCCCATCCCCCCAAAGCAACCTGTCCTACCCTGCCTAGGGCATGGGGCTTCCTATTAGAAGTGGGGCCTGAGGACTGGGGTCAGCTTTCTTGGAGTTTTCCTTGGTGCTCCTGTAAGGGTATTGCTGCTGGATTTCACCTTCTGTGACCTTGTGTGTCCTGCCCCTCCCCATCACGGTGGGCACTTCCTCCTTAGACAGCAAAGCAGAGCTTGGGGACCCTGTGGAGCCCTGGGGTGTGCAGGATGAGGAGGAGCCTGGCAAGTGGACACTGGAACCTGAGATGTATCCTGTCTTTGGAACCAGTCAGCTTTGAGGTTTTTTGCCTCTTGACTGTCACTTTCCTCATGTAACAAATGGGAAAGTAACAGTTTCCACCTGACAGGAAGACCCAGGTTAGTTTCACACAGCACGGTTACACAGTGTCCAGTGTCATCTGCCCCAGATCTCAACTGTCCCACCCTTGCGTTGCCATAGGATCCTGGGAAAGGCCTCTGCTGTGTGGTCTATGGGGCCTTCTCTAGATTCTTCCATCTTGCATGGGCACTGAGTCTATCCAGGGCTGGGCATCAAAAAGTTCTGGTAGTCCGAAGATTGGTGTCTTGAGCTGAGGGAAGTGGCCTACCTGGACAGTTCTGCTTGTCCCAGGCCTGTTCTCCATCCCACAGGCCTGCTCTGGTCTCCTTCCAAAGTAGGCTCCCTCCTCTGCACTATGCTCTCCCAGCTGCAGTCCAAGGCTGTCCCCATCTATCTCCTTTTATTGACACTCCAGTCCTTCCTCTGTTCCTGCCCCTTCCCTCCCCTCTCTCGAAAGCAGGGTAGTTGTTAGCTTCCATGCTGCTGCTCAGTTGTTTGGGATTAGGCCCTAACCAGTGGTTCTCAACCTTTCTAATGCTTCGACCCTTTAGTACAGTTCCTCATGTTGTGGTGACCCTCAATCATAGAATTATTTTCGTTGCTACTTTGTAGCAGTAATTTTGCTACTGTTATGAACTGTAATATAAATATCTGATATGCAGATGGCCCTAGGTGAGCCCTGTGAAATGGCTATTTGACCTCCCGAAGGAATGGAGACCCACAGATTGAGAACTGGGTAAGGGGGATGTCTTAGCTCTGCCTGGTTATACACACTGCTGTGTCCTCTCCAGTCTGTTCTGTCTGTCTTGACTGAGAGGAGGGAGTACAGTTGGGAGTAGGTCAAGAAAGGCTGGGGGTGAAGGTGCTGGGGCTCCAGTGTGGCCCTGTTTGGAGCTAGGTCAGTGGTCCTCAGTGGGCTGGTCCATGGACTATACAGGTAACCCTTTCTGACCAAGTGTACACACACACACACACACACACACACACACACACACACACACCCCATCCTTTCTATAGCCAGCCTGATCTTGCCAGGACTAGGGTTCTGGGCTCTCCATTGGCAGGGTGGAGATATGCTAGCCCTGTAATCTGTGACCACAGCTATTCTGGGCCCCTTGGTGCTTGTCCTCCACCCACTGGCCCTTAGAATCTGTTGTGGGACCCACTCTTAGGCAGCTGTGGTCTGGCCAGGAAATAGAAGGCCTTGGGTGAGGAGTGGCTTCTGGAATGATAGGAGTCTCCAAGCAGGGTTGGGGTCAGACTTCTGTGCTATGGTCCCTCCAAGTTCCTCTCCCTACCCTGTCCAAAGACCTGGAGGGAACCACAGCCCTTAGTTGCTTGCTGAGGTTCTAAGAAGACCCCCTGCACTGGGTGGCCTTGAGTGACACATCTAACCTGAAGGAGAGTGGGGACACATTCTCCTCTGGTGTTGAGAGAAATGTCACTCGGGCATGTTGCAGCCCTGATGCCAATGGCTGTATTAGTGATGCCCCCTTCTCCTGGCAGCTCGTTCTCTGATGAAGGTGCTTGCTCTGTCAAAAAGGCAGCAGGATCACAGTAGAGTCTGGAGAAGTTCTGGGTAGAGTCTGGAGAAGTTCAAGGGCTGGGTCCATGGGCGTCCTCAAGACAAGTTTCCTGCGTAAGCCCTGGTCCAAGCGGCCCCACTTATCCTAGGTACACACACACACATGGCCTGGGGTGTGCAGGCAGCCCTGGAGTCTTAGGGACACTGAAGGATGCAAGCTAAAAACACAGACTCCCTGTCCAGTTTTGGAAACAGGTAAAGCTGCATGTATCAGGAATAGCATGCACACTTCATGGCAGGTACAGGCTTCAACATTCACAGGCTTCCGGGGGCTCATACAGCTTGGTGACCTCCCTGACAGCCTGCAGCCTGGCTGCACCACTTCCCAGCCCTTCCTGGATGCTCATGATAGATCCAGACCTAGGGACTGAACAGCCATCAGACTTGTGAGCCCCTCAGGGTCAAAGTCTCTGGCCAGGTGAAGGGTGGGGCATGGGCGGGGCCTGAGACAGGGTGAGTAGAAAGATGGGGATGAGTGCTCTTCCCGACAGGAGGAAGGCTCCTTTCCTCTTGTCCTCTGTACTTGCCATTCGCCAGTGGTGGACTGTAGGTGGACTGTAGGGCACGAGGGTGAGAATGACCCCAACAATACTGCCCTACCAGTGCCTAGCGCCTACCAAACCCCTGCCAGGAATATAAGACACAGGAGGAAAATTGAGTCACATATGTGAATTAAATGTGTTCTAGGTGTGTTGGCCAAACCACACCTTGTCCAAAGCCAGCCATGATCTTTCTCTCTCCTTGTGCCCTCCAGCACTTGAAAACAAATCCCTGGGCTCCAGCTGGTTTGGAGGGGCGAGGAAGAGTCCCTTACAGATGTTGCATGACCTGGATCAGGTAAGTGACTAGGATGCCCTCTCACATCCTGGATAGGAAAACACAGTCTCCTGTGTCCTTGCTGCAACAGGCTCTGTCCAGTACGGGCAATGAGCTTCCTGCCTAGTCTGGAAGGCCACCACAGCAGAGGCGTGTGCTTGTCCTGTGCTATGTATGGCAGACACAGAGAAGTAAAACAGTCCCATGTCTGTCTCAGGAGACCAGTGAACAGATGGTCATTAAGCTATGTCTGTCCCAGGGGACCAGCAAACAGATGGTTGTTAACCTCTGTATGTCCCAGGAGTTCAAGTAGATGGTCATTAAGTTCCCAAGTTTTAGTATGTGGCACAGCAAGGGAATGTTTGAAGGACTCCCTCCCCTTTTCTAAGCAGATGGAGCAAGCGGCCCTCCTGGGACTGCACACGGCCTCAGATATGCTCACATACACCCTACAGTACAAGCACTCGTTGGCTTAGCATGGTGTTAGCTCCCAAAGGACCCAGCCTGATTAAGTACTAAGTCAAAACACTCCTAGCATCTGGGCCCTTGATGCTCAGCTACTTGGCCATACAGCACACTGCAGATATAGTGGTTCTCTTAGTGATGGTGTGAATCAGCTGGGCAGACTCACTGTCCCCACCTCCTACAGGGAGAGAGCTATACAAAGGGTCACCCCAGCCCAAGGAAAAGTTTATGTTCAAAACTGGCAGTGGCTCCTTCTGAATGTCAGAGACATGAAGTCAAACAGAACAAGACAAAAAACCAGCCTAATAGCATACAAGTAGGACTGACTGAATACCACTAGGATATTCCACCTTGGCTCATAGCCAAAGAAACACGCAAGTAGTGTGTATTGAGCACCTACTGTATGCAAGCCATTCTCTTGTGCTGAGATTTTTGTGTCACTCAGCTGGACTGAGTTCCAGCCCTCACAGAGCAGACAGCAAAGTCAGGTAGGGAATAGCCTGACCAGCAATTACAATGACATGATATGGAGCTGTGCTCTGAGGGAGCAGTGGGGATTACAAGGAACTTTCCAAGGGGATTCTGGTGGCGATTGGGAGAGGCTGCTCCCCGAGAAAGGGGATCGCACTGTGATCTGAAGAGGAAAAGCAAAAACCACAGAGAACAGCTAGGCCAACAGCCTGGTAGCAAGGAGGGCAGAGAGGTTTTCTGTGGTGAGCTTGGAAGGCAGGCAACATGCCACAGGGTCCAGACTGTGGCAAGGACAATGGGGAACCCTGGAGGATTTTAAGCAGGAGCAGCAGGGTTGGAAGATTCCCTTGGACTGCTGTGTGGGTGTGTCTTCTGAACCTAGCCACACCCTGGGGTTGCAGATAAGGAAGTCTTGGTTCAAAGAGGATGTCTGCCTTACCCCTGGCTACACACTGAGCAGTGGGGAGGGCAGGCTCTCAGGAGGTTCCTAATTCCACTACTATGCAGCCTTCAGAGGGGCGGATGGGTCCTCACAGTTCCAGGATCCAGGACTGTTGTAGTCAAATCCTTCGAGGCCATATGCCTTGCTGCTAGAGACATGGCAGCAACAGACATGCCAGGGGACAAGGACTGATCCTATGCTATGCTCTCACCTACAAACCATAAATCTACCATTGTGTCTGTTTACAGACGGGAAAACTGAAGTAAGGGGCTGATGAGCCCGCAGAGCTCATAAAGACCACAATCAGCTGGGCAGCCGGGAAGCTCACTGGGAGCGACAAGGGCTGTTGTGCAGGATGAGGCACCAGCTGTGGAATCCCAGCAGCCCTAAGTTAAAGAGCCAGTCTTAAAATATTAGAAAGTCAGTGAGTCATAAATGAATATGTAGATTTTTGGAAGATGCTAACCAAATACACATTACTCTTTTCTCAAATTTTGGGGAATCTTTGAAACCCCTGGGAATCTTTTGCCTTTATTATAATACGTATAAGCAATAAATTCACCAAAAGGATATAAGAGAGAGTAGTGGAAAGTGAATTTGAGCCAAGTACATGATAAACATGTATGAAAATATTACCATGAAATTCACATTTATGCAGTGAATATGTTAATAATAAAATAATGTTTAAAATAAAAAAAAAAGAGCCAGTCTCCCCACAAAATGCCATGACCTCAGGCACCTCACTTCTCCCAAGCCTGGGTTTTGTCATCTGCTGAGACAGTGTTGACTGTCTTCGGGCTCATGAGTCTGTAAACAGCAGCAGTGTTGACACAGAGGCCAGCGGCCCCATGGGACAACAGTGACATGTTGCCCTCTGTCACCCTCTGAGTGTTACTCCTGCTACAGATTTGCAGCCTCATGACTCCAAGATGACTGCCATCCTTACTGAAGAGGATCTCAGGAGGGGTGGGTGGACCCCCCCCATTCCCTCTTGCTCTGTATCCTAAGGAGAAGCCTTTCCCAGGAGTAGCTGGCCAACTTCCCCACATCTCTTTGCTCAGAGCCAGGCCACATGCCCATCCTAGACTCATCCCTTTTGTGACAGTGTGGGGCTGCATGGCTGGTTCTTCGGAGGGTAGGCATCTTCTGACAGCTGATGAAGAGGGAGGTGAGTTGAGTAGTAGATGGCTGGCATTCCTCCACAAGCATGTGCTGGACTGTGAGGAGGTTAAGGTCAGCCTGGCCTGTGAGGTTTCCAAGGCCACTCCTGATGGCAAGAACAGGGTCTTCTTAGAGCCCATAGACTCCATGGCCACGGCTGAACTTGGTGACATGGTGATAAAGAACTGAAAGTTCAGTGCAGCACATGTCTCCTCAGCCAGGCCCTGGTCCTCCCAGGCAGGGCCTGGTCCTGTGTGAGCTTCCAGACAAGTTCTTGGCATATGAATTTTAACTTTTCCAAATGTCACTGTCTGTGTCTCTGCTTGTTCATCTCTCTGCCTTTAGCTTTCCTTTGTAACTAACTCATGCAGAATGGTGACATAGGACACCCCACATTACATCACCAACTCCCTCCCTCCTTCTCTAAAGCCTCCATCCCTAAAGCCTCCCTCCATCTCTAAAGCCTGTGGACGCTGGGGCTCTGTCATCACTTAAAGTAAAAGAATAGGTGCCCCTCCACCCATCCTTTCTGAAACACTTTTCTTTCCTCCCTCATAAAACACAAGGTCAAGCCACTTAATGAATCCTGGACCTCTGCAGAATATTTTTGAAGACCTCAGAAACCTGCGTGCATGTGGACACACAGACACATACACACTCCCATGCCACCAGTATCCATGATCTCATGATGGGGCTGGAGCTCCAACATTTCTGCTTCTGTTATATACCGCCTCAGAGCCTGAAATATCCCAAGGGCCTTTAACTTTCTAAGAAAGAGCGCAACATAAATTCACTCTTCCGAAGTGGCTGATTCAGTGGTTTTAATATCTTACAAGTTTGTGTGACCTCCCACTATCTAAAACACTTGCATTATCCCAAGGGAGACTATGCCTATATTAGTGGCCATTCCTCTTCCTTCTCTTCTAGCTCCTGACAACAACTAATCCTGTCTGTAGATTACCTGTTTTGATCATTCCACACAAAAGCAACCATACAACTATGTCTTTAGTCCCAGAACTTGGGAGGCAGAGACAGAAGGATCTCTGTGAGTTCAAGGCTGGCTTGGTCTACATCTCCAGCTCACCTCCAGGACAGTCATGGCTACCCTGTGTCAGAAAAAAAAAGGGGGGGATCATACGATAGTTGGCCTTTTATGTCTGGCTTCCTTCACCCAACATAATTCTTTCAAAGTTCATCTGTGTTGCAGTATTTATCACACTCTCCTTCCATTTAATGCCTGAATAATACTCTGTTATGGATATCCCATATACTATTTATCCATCTGTCAAATGGTGGATTTTGAAGTTTTTTTCCTATAGGAATAATGAACATTCATGTACACGTTTCTGTGTGCCCATGTTCTTAGTTGTTTATAGTCACCCCTTGGCAATAGTCATTCAGTAACTTGTAGGATAATGGGCTTTAATGTGTGTGGTGGTTAAATAAACTTGCTGATTCTGTATTAATAAACGGACACATTTCTTTGGACCTTGATTTACTTTTTTCCCCAGCAAAGCTTTCATTTTGTGTGTATGGGTATTTTGCCTGCACATGCTAGTTGTGGGCCACGTGTATTCGGTGCCCAAAGAGGCCAGAAGAGGGCATCAGATCTTCTGGAACTGGAATTACAAATATGAACAAGCCACACAGTACCCAGCACACCAGGTTCCTCCCATCCTTCTCCCTCAGCAGTTAGACTTCATTACTTCCAATTCCAAGACATATTCTGACTCCAGACGACCATTCAGAGGCTGCTGCCACATCTGGGGTTCCAGTTTCCAGTGCGTGTGTGTGGGGAATCCCTTGCCCGAGACCCTGGTCAGATAGCATCTGCGCAATCTCAGGTTCTGGAACCCACTGCACTCTGAGATGCGGCCCTGACAGCCCCGCCCCTTGTCACCTGCAGGCTCCACGTTCTGCGATGGCTGAGGTGCACCACCAGCGGCGAGAGCAGTTACGCCGGGCCTGCAGCCGCCACACACGACGACGACAACGCCTGCTGCAGCCGGAGGACCTGCGGCACGTGCTGGTTGACGATGCGCACCGGCTGCTGTACTGCTACGTGCCCAAGGTGGCCTGCACCAACTGGAAGCGCGTGCTGCTGGCGCTGCGCGGCCGTGGGGAGCCGGGCGCGATTCCTGCACACGAGGCGCATGCGCCTGGCCTGCTGCCTTCCCTGGCCGACTTTGCGCCATCTGAGGTCAACCAGCGGCTGCGCGACTACCTGGCCTTTCTTTTTGTGCGCGAGCCCTTCGAGCGCCTGGCCTCGGCCTACCACAACAAGCTGGTGCAGCCGCACAGTGCGGCCTTCCAGCGGCGCTATGGCACGCGCATTGTGCGCCGCCTTCGACCACACGCGCAGCCCGATGCGCTGGCCCGCGGCCACGACGTGCGCTTCGCCGAGTTCCTGGCCTACCTGCTCGACCCACGCACGCGCCGGCACGAGCCTTTCAACGAACACTGGGAGCGTGCGCATGCGCTTTGCCACCCGTGCCTAGTGCGCTATGACGTGTTGGGCAAGTTCGAGACGCTAGCGGAGGATGCAGCCTTCTTGCTGGACCTGGTGGGCGAGCCTGGCCTGCGCTTCCCTGCTCCGCCGCGGAGGAAGAAGAAGGATCCCACGCATGATCAGGCTCGGCGCCTTTTCCAGGACATTAGCCCCTTCTATCAGCGCCGCCTTTATGACCTCTATAAGATGGACTTTCTGCTCTTCAACTACTCCGCCCCCTCCTACCTGCGGCTGCGGTAGGGGCGGTAGGTGCGATAGGGCTTGTGGCTGCTGTGACCAGGAGGTCTGCAGTGAACCTGTTAGTGTGGATTGGAGACCCATTGGGTTACCATACCCAGTGGGCCTGACCAAGAGCCTGTACACAGGCTGCGCTCGTACTGGCTGGGTCGGGTACAGCTTGCCTCAGGGGCCCACACACTTGGCCGCTTCTGCCTTTGGTTTGTTTCTTTCTCCTGCTGCAGATGGCAGGCTTCTCCTTGGACCCCAGGTTTTTGTTGTTATTGTTGGGTTTTTTGGTTTGGTTTGGTTGTGAAAGGCCATTTCTCAGTCATGTCTGTGCAGAGCTTGTCCATGGTTGTTACAAGACAGAATGCCAGGGTTTGATACAGTGGTGTGAGGTCTAGCCTGGCGCCTACCTTTCTTCCTTCAGGCTGTCAAGGGCAGATGGAGGCAGAGAGAAGCTATGCAGGCTCAGCTCTGGCGGAGTATGGCCATCCCTGTCAGCAGGCACTGCTTAGGTGTCAATATGAGCTGCCTGCAATCCCAGCAGTCACAGGATGGTAGAGCAGTACCACTCCACCTCACCCTTGCCTGGTTGGCTTACCTTTGATCTCAGTTTTGCAAGAGGCTGGGTCTTCCTGTGTCAACAGAGGTCAGGATGCAACATAGCAGTTTTTCCAGCACCCTGAGGAGCTGGGCCAGTCATGTTTTTGTTTTTAATAAATATGTTTTGTTACATTTTCACTTTGGCCCATTTTCCTTGGACCATTTACGGGGCAGATCTTGGGCAATTCCATGTGTCTCTGAACCTCAGTTTCCTCTGCTGCTATGTGGCACAAGAATGAAAGGTCAGATCAGAGCAAAGTGGTCATGGAACCTAGGTCACCTCCACAACAGCCTGGGGTGGTGGGGATGATGGCGGTAAGAGGGTGGCTGGAGTTCCAGAGGCCAGCTAAGAAGAACCAACAGGGAGCAGAAATGGTGGAGAGGAGACAAGGGATGGTAGAGGGGGCCGAGAACTGTACCTGAAGAAAATGTCTGTAAAGATGGGGGTGGGGCGGGGGGAGGGACACTTACTGTAGGAGCAGAGGATCCTGACACCCAACACCTGTCCAGAAGCTGTGACAGTTGCAGACATTGCCTGCTGTCTGCTGTTCAACTGTTGCCAGAAGCTGAGGGTTACAGCTGCCTAGCTGCCGGGCTTCTGGTTACAGTCCCAGGAAACCATTCCCCAGCCTGAGCACCTGGAGCCCTGGAGTCTCTGGATTCGATGTCCTGGAGCAACAGCCCTGGCTCTCTGGGTTTGAGTTGCAGCCTTTGGCTGTGCCAGTGCAGCTTCTGGGCCTCAGGCACTCAAGGGTTGGGATTGTCAGCATTGGAGAGTTTGATCTACTCGGATTTCTATGTAAAGAAGGACGTCAGGCAGCTGACTGACAGAGCAGCAATGGCAGACTGTGTCTGTGGGGAGCAGAGAGGCCCTGGCTTCTTCCTGCTCAGTCACATTCACCCTGCTAGGGCTGCGTTCCCCCTCACAGGAGCCCGCCTAAGGCCTTCAGGGCACTGTGAGCAGCCACAGGACTGTGTGGCTCTGGACCAGGGAAGGAGCTGCCAAAGCCACCGCTGCTGCTGCTGTTTGAATTCTTGCCCCAGACTGCCCTTCTTTCCACTGGAGGAATGGACAGTCCCTGGAGTTTTCCCCAGCAACCGGAAACCGTAGCTTCATCCTTCTAGGCAAACTGTGGAGTGAGATGATGGGGGCTGTGGTCACCCACCCTCTCTGCTAGGCATATATCCTGGCTTTCGTCCTGTTAGGGTTTGCCGTGTGCTCAGCAGCCACCCCCTCAGTCCTTACTCATGCTGATGGCCGTTACACGTACATGCCTTCGGATGAGGCACCGACTGACTACTGTGCTCCCTCTAGACGTACCCTCACATGCCAGCGTGTCCCCTCACAGGCAACACACATAGACTCCTGCACACACACATTTTTAATAGAGATAAGACAGCTTGTCAGATACTTCTAGGCTTAAAAAAAAATACTGCTATGCTCTGTAGATTATTCCAGGTCAGTCCATAGTTGCTTCCTTCTTTTGATGGCTGCCTGAGATTGTGGGCGTGGCCGTGAGCATTAGCAGTGCATCCTAGCGGGTGTTTGGTTGGCTTGCCACTCTTGCTATTTCCAACTACTAGAATGACTGCACCCTTATTACCCCATACCTTGATTTACATGTGCATGTGTTTGGATAATGTTCTAAAAGTATCATTTGCTGTTTTTAATCTTTACTGCAAGAGAAACTAGAGGCAAACTGACCAGTCCAAGCAGAAATGGGATTTGAACCTGCAAAGTTTATTGGTGCTGTATGGTCTTTGCGTGTGCAGGATGACCTACTCCTGTTTTTTTGGTGGCCTGCAAGGCTGCTCTCTTTACAAATGTCCTGAGGCAGCTGTCTGGAGCAGAGAGGTGGCTGAGAAAGCAGCCATGGAAACTTAGCGTTCTAGGAAACGTGCCCAGATGGCTGTAATTCCCTACAGGTGAGGAACTGGTTATCAGCGTACTGTGGGGGAGGCTGCTTGGGCTGGTTATCAGGGGACTGTGGGGGAGGCTGCTTGTGAAGGTCTTGTTTGGGGAAACGGAGGCTCACTAATTTATGTTCCCAGCTGTTACGCCGCGGTGGAGGCCGGGATGGCGGGGAGAAGGTGAATGGCCATGTAAAGTCCGGAGAAACGGCCCTAGAGAAGTCACACAGAACCACACCTGACCCAGGGAACCCTGCAGGTTGCAACCAGCCAGGGTAGGGAAGGCTCTTGACAGTTCTGTCTCCAGCCAGGCCTGTCCCAGCCCCATAGGCAACCTCTGTAGCCAATGGCTGCCATGGAGATGCAGGAAGTGGCTCACACACCCCTCCAGCCACCTGCTCTTCCAGCCTTGGAAATCCAAGCTGGATGCAGCAGATTCCCAACACTTCTTGGGCCTCCACTGGCTGAGCTCAGGGTGTACCTTAGTCCTACCCGTCCACTAGGCTAGTTGTGTCGGTTGGTAGGGTCAGCTAAGTCACACTAATTTTTCTTCTGTGGTTACCACTCACCTGAGACTACCTCCTAGCTCCCCACCAAAAACTGTCCTCAACCTGAGGCAGGCCTCTCCCACCTGAGCCTGGCTCCTCTTAACTCCTGGCCTGAGGCGCCTTCACAAATTCACTAGGTGGGTCCTTGTTCTCTACCCGCTATGGCACCTGCAAGGGCAGTCCCCTACCCTGGGCTTCTCCTTCAAGGTCCCTTTTACCCTTTCCTCTTTTACTCTGTGCCCTGGACCCTACAACTGGCCTGCTTGACTGGATTACCAGCAAGAAGCAGGCAAAGATTCAGAGCCAGCAGATTTTTTGAGGCTGGAGGGAGATTCTCCTCCCGCTTGCACCCTGCGCAGCTGTTCTCATTTGGTAGGCTGCCCAGCCCCCACATTCTGTTCTTAACTCCTGAGCCCTGGCTGCTTTTCCAGCTGGGGGAATGGGCTAATTTCCCACAGTGGCTAGCCTCAATACTGCCCAGGGATTTCTCTTGGGAGAGCCTCACTGTGACCCATAGCATCAGGTGCTCCCCAAAACATCTGTCACTGTGTGGGCGTCTCCTTGTCTCTCCGTACTTCCTGCCCAGGGACTGGACTATAGTATCCTTAACCTTTGCCCTGGAAGCTTGACCACTCCCTACCAAGTCTTGGCCCAGATGTGGTCCAGAGTATGTGGGATCAGCCCCAACACCCTCCCTGGCTCTAACATGGCCAGACTGGACTTACGGAGCCTATCGTGGATCTAAGCTGCTTCCATTTTGCCCAAATGGAGACATAGGTCCAGAGACATAGCAGCTTTTTGACCACAGCCTTAGCAGCAAATTTGCCATGGTTTCAGTTAAGAGGTTTTTGCTTTAGATACCAGAGAATTCTTGCTCAGGGAAGGGGCATAAGGTCTGTGGCAGAGGCCAGGGCTAGGCTTGTGTGTGTATGCACAATGCATGTGTGTGTGCATTTTTATTCACAAACATCTCTTTGGATGTACTGTGGAACAGATGTACATCCTGGGGATTAGCCAGAACTGACACACGTGCACTGAACAATAACTATGGACTCTGAGAGAGGCATTGAAGTGGGGCTGAGGTGCCACCTGGCCTCCAAAGGCCCTCAGGATGGAGCAGCTTGTTTACCATGCCTGTGTACAGGCAGCGCCATGGCCTGGTAGAATCCCTTGCTCCCTGTGCCTCTGGGATAAAGCACCGTAGTCATGTGTATGCTGACTGTGAGAGGACCTGCCTGAAGGTGGCTGAGGTTTCTTTGTATAGGGCGGGCGATGTCAACAAGGCGTGTGGTCGTGGAAGGCAGCCAAGTTCAGGAACTTACCCTGGGATGGGGATGGACCGTGTTGGCAACAGCTTCTTCTGTAAGGGCAGCTGGTCCTTTAGTGAGTTTCTCTTGACCTTCCAAGACAGTGGGGGCACGGTGGTGGGCTCCGTTAACCAACATAACCTAGAAGGGCCTTTGAGTTAAGAACCTGTAACTGTCAGCCACCCACAGGAATTCACACCTGGACTTTTCTGTGTGTCTGGCCCCATACTCAGTGCTTTAGAGAAATTTAGCTTTGCCTTTTCTGGACTGGAACAGCAGGTAAAGAAGGGAGAGCCACATTCTTGGTCACAGCACAGGGTTCTTTAAGAGCTCCATGGACTTCTGTCTGCTCTTAACTCCAGCTCCTCTGTGTTCTGGGAACCTGGGTGCAAGATGGGGCTTACAAGAGGGCTGAGTATCTTGTACCTGTAAGGAAACCTCTTGGCAAATCTCATCTTGAGCTTGGCAGTGTATTTCTTAGAACAGCAGGTCTTCTTGGAGCCTTTCAAATCCATCACTGAGGGAGTCAGGCTGTGTCCCTCTCAGCCATGACTAGGAAACAAGAAGAAGCTGTAAGAACAGAGGCAAGTCTGGGAAGTCCTGAGTGGCCTCTGTGGGCTTGTTTAACTTTCCTCAATGAGAGAGAATATTGTCATTGGCCCATTTTTCATGGAGAAGGAAGGCGTTCCAGCAAGTGTTTATATCTGCACGACAGAATAGTTTAGGGACACTGGGCTTCCAGAGTAGCTCAGACAGTCTGGAAGGACCAAGGAGGTGCTAGGAACCCCTTCTGGTAGCCTGCCTTCCATTTTCAGGATGGCCCTGTCAGCTCTCTTAATTGCAGCTGCTGCCTCCCTCTGGTGCAGGGGCCACTGCAGTGTCCAGGGAATCTTTTGACTCCACGACTCCCATTCCACTGTCTCTATTGCCATGTTGCAGCAGTAACTGTAACTTCACTAACGGGTATGGGGCTGTTCTTCATGGCCACCCAGCTGCTGGAGCTCACCAGGTAGCCTGTCCTAAATCTCAGACATGATGATTAGGGCTTGGATCACGAAGCCACAGAACTGTTTCTGCCTAGGAAGCTGAAAATGGGGAAGTTGCTGTGGCCCCACAGCTGGGCCCTGCTGAAGCCTTGGTCAGATGGCAGGCCCAGGTCAAGGGTGTTCTGGCAGCAAAGAAACCAGCCAAGATGCACACTGGTGTACAGGCCTAAGTGATACCAGAGGAGTTACTGCTGGTCATGTTTTTGGGTGCCAGGCCCAAAAACATGGAAGCCATAACCCCATGGCTCTGGGTCAGCAGAGGCCACAAGCCCAGTCAGAAGCCTCTGAGGTCACAATCAGTGATAGGTCAATTGCTGACATCTCTCACAGCATCTGAGGGCAGGCATACCAGCACAGCACAAGAGATCTATATAGGGCACCTCACCTTGCTAAGGAGAGAGAATTGAAACACACTGAGGAGGAGCATGACAGTGAGATGTGTTGAGAGGTCTGGAGAAATGCCCAGTGCTGTCAGGAGATAACCAAGAGTCTGGAAAGCCACGTGGGCTCTTTCGAGTGGCCCAGGCAGGGTTGTGCAGGAGCTTGAATTCCTAGAAAGCTGCGCAAATCCTTAAGCTTAGATTTAAGTGTTGTGCCTTCTTTCCTCCGGGTTAGAAAATTCTCCCTGCTTCTTAGAGAAGTGGATTGAAGTTAACAGCAGGAAAGCCAGGTGAGGGCACTGAGAGTTTAAACAAAAGATGCTGGTTCTCCACTGGGACCACCTTAGAATGGCTGTACAACAAAAGACTGTACTCAAAGTGGGGAGAGCCAGATGAGAACACATTTCTTACAGTTTAGTATTTCAGACTCTCCCCCAAGGCTCACGTGATGCAGCTGGTGGATAATTGAGAGGTGAATAGATCATAAAAGCTCTAAAGTAATTGAACCCACTGATGAATTCATGATTTGATGGTAGGTACCATTAGGGATAGTAGAGACAGAAGATGGGCCTTATTGGAAGAAATAGTCACTCACAGTGGGCATTCGTGCTGGATGGTTCACAGCAGTAGTAACCTTAAAAGAGAAATTGGTACCAGGAGGTGTGTATTGGTGTGAGAGACCTGACCATGTCTTTTAGAGAGGACCGTGAAAGGACTTTGGGAACCTTGGACTAGAAAACCATTGAGTATTGAGATCTCCGTGAACTGTTCCATAGAACTTGGAAGATAAGAATGTTGAGAACAGTGCAGATGATGGACTTCTGGCTTGTGAAGTTTTACAGGGAAGCAGTGACTCTACCAGATGACCTGTGTGAAGAATCTGATGAACAAGAGAATGGTACCATTGAAGTGAAACCATTGAGGTGAAACTGGGACAACTGAGAAATTAGCAACCACGAAGAAGAAACAAGTACCACTGAGGTGAGATCTTCTGGCAGTCGGCACACGGAAGCTATGTTTCAGAGGCCGCCAAGCTGTACCTTGTGCTGGCAGCTGAACTTGGTAGTGTTAGAGTCACCCATGTTGTACCGGTTTTGAAGTCATGGTGGGGTCATAGAGAGCAGTTGAGAATTTGCGTCATGAAGAGAGCCTAGGACAGGCTATTGGTGAAAGTGCAGCCCAGTTAGCTCAGTTGCAGGAAAAGACCCCAGCCTTTGGAGACACCAGTGCTATAGGATCACAGCCAAGAACAGCAGCTGTGGGCTTAGATCGTTCACCAAACCCATCTTAGGGTTCTTAAATGCTTCTACCACACTTCCATCCACTGACCAGAGGTAGGGGAGAAAAGAGGGTTATTAAGAAAAAGTGGCTGTAGACCTTTTTAGAAGTAGTTCCTTGGAATGAGTCCAATCTTTTGTTATCTGGATAGCAGCAGTCCAGTCCAAAGGCCAACACCAAGCAGCAACATGAATCAGCACAATTCAAAACATCAAGACCAGTCAGTGAAAGCTGAAGGACTCAGTTGGATTGCCCTGAGAAGTTCTCTGGAACATTTCTCTTTACAAAGCCAAATGTCAAAGCATGAAGATCAGTGCAGTGATGTTGATCCAAAAGAGATGTCTCACTGTCCGTGGGCTTCTATATATCTCTTGTTCTCAGAGTCCACCCATGGATGTTCTCAGCTGGCCAGTCATGCCCCTCAAAGGAGAGCGCTCACAGCAGAACATCATGTGTCCTTTCACAAGCTAGCTTCCAGCAAAACATCATATGACTCAACTGAGTCTTCAAAAAACCAGAAATTTCCACTCCATCCCCCTTTTTGTTTAAAAAAAGGTCTTTCGTTTAATATTAACAATCTACACATAATTACCATAAAACTTTACATCATATTTTAAATGAGCTGCTTATGTATAAATACACCAAACAATAGTCAAAATAACCTTAATTTCTATCAATATACAATAGTTACACAAAATAAACTTAAAATTTTACACAAAATAAATTTAAATTTCTGTTGTTATACAATACAAAATAACTTAAACTTACACAAAATAATATTAAATTTCTTTCAATATACAGTACAAAATAACTTAAACTTATACAAAATAACTTAAATTTCTACCAACATACATTAGTCCATATCAAAGTAAAATAACACATCAAACGACAAAAACATCTTCCCCACCTTTTGGGAATGGAGGAGTCATGTAGGCAAAGATATCTTTTGAGTGCCCTGTGAAAATTTGGGATATTGGCCAAGTATGGGGAAAACTAGTTGTATCTTTTTCTGTCCATTATCTGTTTTGTCTGTTTAGTCTCTGTGTTGTCTGCTCAGTCTCTGTGCTGTCTATCCTTTGGGTTAGCCCTTTTGAAGAATTATTTGCATGGAAGTTTTGAAAAAAATCAGTCACCGAGGCAGTCTGTGACAGTGAATCATCTGGGCTATTTGTTTTGTGAAGACAGTCATGTCTTGGGTGATAAGTTTTCCCTGGTCAGATCTAATCTCTCTAAGTTTTGAGAGACCTGACCCTGCAAATGACCATATTTTGTCATTCCCTGTGGATACATAAGCATCATCATGTCCCCATCTCAAAACTATTGCAGGTTTCCATTCTAATGTCAACATATTCTTGTAGTATATTGGTTGACCTAGTTCTTTAGTTTTTTTTTCTATAACCCATTGTCTCTAGCTGCCGTTGTTCCTTTTTCACTGTCATTAAGAAAATCTAGATTTAACAAACCGTTATTTAGTCTGTCCCTGGGGCTTTTTACTCTTCTTTTGAAATAAGCATCTCTTTTAAGGTCCGATTAGCTCTGGTTCTTTCTATAATAGCCTTTCCTGTAGGATTGTGTCGTATACTGATAATATGCTTTATGTTGTAATATACAAGGAATTGTTTCATCTTATTGGATACACATGAAGGAACATTACCAGTTTTAATTTGTGCAGGTATTCCTATAATTGCTGTTATTTCTAATAAATGTGAAATTACACAATCAGCCTTTTCAAAACTTAAAGCAGTTGTCCATCGAAACCCTGAGTATGTGTCAGTAGCATGGTGTAATGCTTCTGTTTTCCAGATTTTGCAAAATGAAAAATGTACATTTGCCAGATTTCATTTTGTTTGTTACCCATAGGATTGCTACCAGTAGATAATGGAATTTGGTTTTATAGAGAACATGTAGGGCATTTAAAAAATTATTTCCTTGGCTTATTGCCAAGTGATAGAATTTTTTAAAAAACCTTTCTCATTAACATGATGTTCCTCATGAAATTTGAAGACTTCAAACATATTCCCTATTAGTAATTGGTCAATTTCCTCATTTCCTTATGCCAATGGACCTGGCAAACCTGTATGAGACCAAATATGAATAATATATAATGGATAGTTTCCACTTCTGATGGCCTGTTGTAATCACATAAATAATGAGGATAATTCTGAATTATCAGGAACAAATTCATCAGTCTTCATATTCAACACAACTCTTTCTGCATATATAGAATCAGTAATTAAGAGATTCAGGAAAATCTAATAATATAAGGATTTCATACAGTTCTGGTTTTTGAACTGAATTATATCAACTTTTGATCACCTTGCTTGTTTTGTCTGACTTATAACCTGCCATCGCCATCTTGTCTGCATCAGTACAGAATGTTGGTGCCTCTGGAATTAGTGTTCTCTTTACCTACATGAAGAATCCAGTTAGTTTTTTTTTTCATAAATGGAATAAGTTTGCTTATAGGATATTTACTATTAATTTTTCCCAAGTAGTTACTACAAGCTCTTTGCCAATCTTCATTTATCACCCACAATGACATGATCTCAGCATTAGTAAGAGGTACTACAATTTCAGCTGGGTCTATTCCTGAGAATTGATATAGTCTTATTCTACCTTTTATAATTAATTCAGAAATCTTTTCTATACATGTCTTCAATTTTTTTTTACTTTGTTTATGTGCTAAGAAAATCCATTCCATAATACTATTTTGCATAATGAGCCCAGTAGGAGAATGAGTTGAAGGCAAAATGACTAAAATACAATCTTAATAACAGACTGGATGCCAAAACATTATCCATCATTCTGCTG